TTTTGAAAAATGTTGTTTGTGCTGTATTTAGACCCTTCTAACAAGAAATTTGTTTTGCACGCACACGTATAAAAATTGCGGTTTTTATCCAACGCAATCATAGGTTTGAACGCTGTTTTCAATTTAGACTTTTATATATATATCCAACGCAAAAAAACCGCAATTTTTATACGTGTGCATGTAAAACAAATTTCTTGGTAGAGGGGTCTACATACAGCACAAACAACAATTTCCAAAAGACCAAAAAAGTGAAAAAGTCTATTTTAACAACACTCATTTGACTAACAGGTCGAACAACTGATGTTCTTAAACCCTGCTGACTGCCATTGGCGATTACCAAATAAATTGATCACCAGATCTAACGAAATGGATCTTAATATTAATTTAATACCAAACAGAAAACAATAAACTTGCGGAAAAGATGGTATACCACAAACATGAGGTGCAAAAATTTGTACACCATATCCGGATTTCGACAATTAATGTCTCTTCAGTGATGTTAGGGATCGAAACGGTATTTGGAAGGCCATATAATTTACCTCAATTTAGGATAGACTCTTGAATTTTAAAGAGTCGAAATAGGATGAACGGATCATATAAACCCGAAGGAAAATATAATACAAGCCCAAACGAAAAAATATATAAAAGTCTAAATTGAAAACAACGTTCAAACCTATGATTGCGTTTGATAAAAACCTCAATTTTTATACGTGTGCCTGTAAAACAAATTTCTTGGTAGAGGGGTCTAAATACAGAACAAACAACAATTTCCAAAAGACCAAAAAAGTGAAAAAGTCTATTTTAACAACACGCATTTGACTAATAGGTCGAACAACTGATGTTCTGAAACCCTGCTGACTGCCATTGGCGATATACAAGTCTAAATTGAAAACAACGTTCAAACCTATGATTGCGTTGGATAAAAACCGCAATTTTTATACGTGTGCATGCAAAACAAATTTCTTGTTAGAGGGGTCTAAATACAGCACAAACAACATTTTCCAAAAGACCAAAAAAGTGAAAAAGTATATTTTAACAAAACGCATTTGACTAACAGGTCGAACAACAAATGTTCTTAAACCCTGTTGACTGCCATTGGCGATTGCCAAATAAACGGATCACCGATGTAATAAATGGATCTTAATTAAAAGTTTAATACTAAACAGAAAACAATAAACTTGCGGGAAAGATGATATACAAACAACATTTTCCAAAAGATATATATAAAGTGCCTAGAAAATCAACCAAACAATGTTAGAGTAGATTTGATTCTTTACTTCCTCCCTGAGCGGGGCTGGAACCTGTACTTCTCACTTCATACTTCTACGGCAATACCGCCTAGCATTGCGCAGACGCCTTATCCCCTCCTCTAACTATAGCTGATATAAATATTTTTAATAAATATTCTAAAGCCTGGTATTTCTTAATCATAAGAAATCCGATGGACAAGGTATAATTTACAGTTGTCACTACAAATATATAGGCATGCTGTTATGGCGGCATCAACAATGTATTAGTTTGTGATTTTGTGATATGTAGGTCAATGATATTTGGTAAGCAGTTGTGTTAGCATAGGCACATCTCATTACCATGGAGAATATTTGGCCCCACCCCCTTAGTCATGGTCTATTGACTTTGAAACTTTGCATAGTTTTACTTACATGTATAAGTTTGTGATTAGGTCAGTTTATGGGGAACCACTAGTGGTAGGTCAATGATATTTGGTAAGCAGTTGTGTTAGCATAATCACATTTCATTACCATGGAGAATATTTGGCCCCACCCCCTTAGTCATGGTCTATTGACTTTGAAACTTTGCATAGTTTTACTTACATGTATAAGTTTGTGATTAGGTCAGTTTATGGGGAACCACTAGTGGTAGGTCAATGATATTTGGTGTGCAGTTGTATAAACTTTGTCATTTCTAATTTACATTGAGATTATTTGGCCCGCCCCCTCAATCATGCTCTTTTTACTTGGAAACTTATGTTACTTTGAAATTTCATTTATTAGCTTTTGATTAGATTAGTATTAGGGAAACCAATAGTGGTAGGTCAAGATAATTGGCATCCAGGTGTAGAAGCATTAGTACGTCTCATTTCCATATAGGATATTTGGTCCTTACCCCTCAGTCATATGCGTGATCTATTGACTTTGAAACTTTTACTTAGTTTACATGAATTAGTTTGTGATTATTATGATTATGTCAGTAAATTACCAGTAATCTTAAGTTAAAGCTATTTAGTATGCAAACGTATTGGTATTTAAAAGTTTCATTTCCATTGATATTATATAACCTCACCCTCATTATGGTTCATTCACTTAGAAATTGAATTTGTGTTAAGGTTTGTTTAAAGGGAACGACTTATGAAAAGTCAATGGTATTTGGTAAGCAGTTTTATAAGCATTGGCACATCTCATTTCCATGGAGATTGATCAGCCCTGTACCATCAGTCATGGTTCATTGTCTTTGAATATCACTTACATGTTAAAGTATTTCTATTTTAAATTTGCATTATCAAAATAACAAATAGGTAAAACATGTCTCTGTGTTAACAGCTTATTATAAATTAGACATGTACAATTATTTTAAAAATAAGAAGATGTGCTATGATTGCCAATGAGACAACTATCCATCAAAATTCAAATGAAGTGGATGTAAGCAATTATAGGCAACCGTACAGCCTTCAAATATATATGTTGCATCATTGCTAAGCCATTATAACAACATCAGCATTTATTGTAATATAATATACAAGAAAATTACACCATTTCAGATAGTTTCAGATATGATATTATAGTTGTGCATAGTGGCACCAACTGATCCAACTAAAACCGCTAATATGGCATATTCAAACTCTAGTACATAGTGGAATTAAACCATACACCACTGTTTGACACCATTATTGAAATTATTATTCTGATAAGAAATTTAGAATATTCCTGCATGTAGCCCGCAACAATTAGCAAAACCTATACTGCATAGTAAGCTATAAACGACCACGAAATGACAAATGTAAAACAATAAAACTAAAGCAGCCTGATTTATGTACAAAACAATTATGAAAAATAAATATGATATACAGCAACAATCAACAATCACCAAATTACTGGGTCCTCACTATGGACAGGTACATACAGAATGTGGCGGGTTAAACTTGTTACCTGGCACAAAACTATCCCCTAACATGGGACAGTGTATATGCATAATCTCAGACATTGAATCTTTAAAAAATAAATTGGAAATATCTTTCGAAAGTGGTAGGATTGGATAGCGGAAACATTACGGTACAAACGTTATTTGATACTTGAGAAATAGCTGAGATAAATATTTTCACCAATTCTTCCACAATATTTATCTTAACTTCTGTCAAGTTTGCCTTTGGTTTTTTAATTAACTGCCTATAGCGCCCTGGGTGCTTTGATCTTAAATTGTTTAACATTTCACAGCGGTATAACATGTTACTTTAATTATTCTTCTCTTAGTTTATTTATTTTGTATTTACTAGTATCATAGATCAAATTTATTTGTTCAGTGTATGTTCACTTGTGTTAATATGTCTTTTGATTGAGTCAAGCCATTTCAATTGATATTTTATAGTGTGTTTTTCTATGTTGTGATGTTACACTATTGTTTCAGATAAGGGTGAAGGTTTGGTACCATTAAAACGTATAAACCCGCTACAATTGTTTGCACCTGTCCTAAGTCAGGAATTTGATGTTCAGTAGTTGGCGTTTGTTGATGTGGTTCATAAGTGTTTCTCGTTTTTCGTTTTTTATATAGATTAGACCGTTGGTTTTCCCGTTTGAATGGTTTTACACTAGTAATTTTTGGGGCCTTTATAGCTTGCTGTTCGGTGTGAGCCAAGGCTCCGTGTTGAATACCGTACTTTGACCTATAATGGTTTACTTTTATAAATTTTGACTTGGATGGAGAGTTGTCTCATTGGCACTCATACCACATCTTCTTATATCTATGATGTATTATGGGCTGTTCATTGTAATCAAGGGGTAACTAGTAAAATATAGGATTGCAATAGTGAAACAAAGAGACATTTTGTTCAATACCCAAAATAACAGGATAAACATGGGCAAATATTTAATAATTAAATAACCAACAGCCTATTTCATTTAAGGAGTAAAACCACCATTGATTTTCCCTTATTAGTCTTTGTTAAATTGGCACTTTTCAAAAAATTGCGCAGAATTATCTTTGTTTCAAATAAAGATTTACTTGGCATGAGTCAAGTTTTATCCTGTCCAGTACTGACAGACAAAATTTCACATAATATGTCATTGCATATAAGATAATAACCATCACTGCAAGTTAACTAATCAAATTTTCACCCCTTTTCTGCCTGTTTACAAGCTTTAGTAACCATGTAACCTCAAGTTTCCAAAATGTTTTATAGAGACATCAAAGTATTTTGAAACACCCAAGATATATATATGTTAGAGACTCAGAAATTATTTTCTGCAATGAAATTCAGGGTTAATTTTCTACAACTGTCATGACTGTCAAATTCAAGGGAATATTTTGTTCGACCCTTTTTTGTAACCGGATGTGACGTACTATGATTTGGTGTATTAAACCTTAAGAAAAGAACAATCTGATTAAAATACAGATCCCATGTCCAAGCTAGAATAGAAACGACGAAATGAAAAGAAAATTAAAAAAAATACATCATCATGCTACTTGCCAACGGCGGTGCATGATCATAGTCGTCGATTTTCACAAACAAAATGAGTAGTGTCGGTTGTACGTGCAATTCTCGAAACCCTTTCCTTAAAAGGAAAGTCTTCATTATGAAAACCCCAAAAAAGTGCACAACACGATATTTTATCTTTTACTACAAATCCATAACGACTTAAATTCGGCTTATGGTGCTTCTGTAATATTTGAAAGATGAATTCATGGAAAAACAGATCATCTATTATTGTTGATATTGAGATAGCTGTTTTTAAAAGATGCATTGCTTATTAGATTTTTTTTTATTGTAGGTACTCTTTATACTGCCAAACAACTTTCTGGAGACTTGGTATTCCTGGGCCTAGGCCAACTTTATTCTTGGGAAATATTATGCAATTTATAAAAAAGGTAAGACTCAATGTTTCAAAAAGTATTCTACTTAAAATAAATTCTAACATGCTTTGGTTTGATATCACGCTTATACATATATGGTGCAACTGTTATATATACTAATATGTACCTTGACCTATAATGGTTTACTTTTATAAATTGTAACTTGGATGGAGAGTTGTCTCATTGGCACTCATACCACATCTTCCTATATCTATAATATGATTTTTTTTGTTCAATCATAAATGAAAGTGAAATAGTGAAATAACAATTCGCTTTAGCAGCCAGTTTAGTTCAATTTTGTCAAAATAAGTTAAGAAACATCACTGATGAATTATTCCTTTACAAGTGAATAATTCGACCTCATTGAATCCGTATTCATTTGACCTTCAATGTAACCCCTCAGTTCGAGATTGTTTACACAAGTATTATGTATGTTCTGTCATTAAAAGGATACGAATGTCAGCATTGAAAGTGAAACAAAGTTTAACCATTTCGTTGACTGATTCGATCCACAAAAAATCATTCTTATACAGGTAAAAACGATCATTAACTTACTTTTTAAACCTATCACATGAAATCAAACAGACCAAGAAAAGTCTAATTGCACGTGGTCACTATCGATTTGTATTTATGTTTATGTTTATATCGTGTTATCCGACCGTGGGCAGTTTTCGGAGGTCATCTCGATGGTTAATTAGATTGCGTCTAGACTAAAATACACACGATATGCTGATATATATTATCGAGTTCATACATTGTTAAGTGTTTATTTCAGACTTATTGTAATTTGGATAAATATTTTAGTATATTATAAATCAAATATGAGAATTTGAGTCAAATCGGTGAACATAAATTTGACAGCTAATGCCCCTTTAAGCTTTTTAGATTATTATCTGTATTGAATGATTAATATCAGATGCTGGATAAAGTTCAATGAGCCGGCAACCAAACTGACAAAAATAAGCAAAGATATCTGATGGGGACAGTTACAGTGTTGGGAAGTTGTCTAGCTATAAATTGTCCCGGGTCTATACATGTTGTGAATAAATTCATCAGAAGCTATTAAAGATCTGTCATCAAAATCTTGTACTATAAATAATAAACACATTTTACTATTAAGTGTCTCTTTTTCTTTGGACATCATTCTGTCTGTCCTTCTTCGACGTAAAACCGTCTCCGTGGGCTCGTGGTTGCGCGTTCGCCTCTAGTGTGGGCGGTCGTGGGTGCGAACCCAAGCCTGGTCAAACCAAAGACTTGAAAATTGGTATTTGCTGCTTCTTCGCTAAGCACGCAACATTTATGATTAAAGAGCAAGGACAGATTGGCTCGGAGTCGGAATAAATTGTCCTGGTTAGGTGACATATCTTCATGTGAGCTGTTACTTTGTGAACTAACACGTTAAAAATCGCAGCTCAGCGTATCGGTCTAGTAGGTACATAACAGGGTTTATTATTAGTCCCCTACCTAGAAAGTCGAAGGAGACTATAGGTTTGCACTCCGTCCGTCTGTCTGTCTGTCTGTCTGTTTGTCTGTCTGTCCGGCAAATCAGTTTTCCACATTATTTTACGTTGTGCTTGAAGATATTGATTTGATATTTAGTATACAGTTTCATCATGACCAGTTACAGATCAAGTTTGAATTTTGTTCTGGTCTAATGATTTTGTGCAGAGTTATGGTCCTTTGACTTAGACAATTCATGCAAGTAATCAGTTTTCTGCACTTTTATGCCCCACCTACGATAGTAGTAGGGGCATTATGTTTTCTGGTCTGTGCTTCCGTTCGTTCGTTCGTCCCTTCGTTTGTCCGTTTTCTGGTCAAAGTAGTTTTTGATGAAGTCGAAGTCCAATCAACTTGAAACTTAGTACACATTTTCCCTGTGATATGATCTTTCTAATTTTAATACCAAATTAGAGTATTGACCCCAATTTCACGGTCCACTGAACATAGAATAAGCGAGTGGGGCATCCACTTACTACGGACACGTTCATGTTTTCGTCATGCTTAAAGATGTTGATTTGATATTTGGTATATAGTTTTACCATGACAAGTTACAGATCAAGTCCGGATTTTGTTTTCGTCTGATGATTATGTGCAGAGTTATGGTCCTTGGACTTCCGAAAATTCACGCAAGTAATCAGTTTTCCGCACATTTTTTCGTCATGCTTGAAGATATTGATTTGATATTTGGTATGAAAAGATACTCATCAAGATCAAATTTTGTTTTTCGGTTCGGATGATTATTTTGCAGAGTTATTGTCCTAAGACTTAGAAAAATTCACACAGTTAATCAGTTTTCCACTTTTTTTTACGTCGTGCTTGAAAAAATTGATTTGATATTTGTTACTAGTATATAGTTTACACCATGACAAGTTATAGATCAAGTTAGCATTTTGTTCCAGTACAATGAATATTTAAATGGTTGGGGACTATTTATTGTCATGCAATACTCTCAAAATGCTTGTTTATATCACATTATCATATTCTCGTCCTGAATATGCATTTAATTTGCCACTGGACGTTAGTTAAACAGCCTACCATCCTTTCATCTTTGACGTTAAGATTGTTATTGCGATATTCGTAATTTCTTCAGTTCAGTATATTTCACTCTTGGTATTTTTATAATTCTTATTGCGGCATTGTTAATTTCTTGTTACATATGTATACGAACAGGACAAATGAAAAGTAACAATACAGGTGTACGAACAAACTTGTTACCCCCCCCCCCCTTTTAGATAATCAATGCTTTTGAATGGGGACATATGGTTGAACCCCTCCCCCCCCCCCCCCCCCCCACTTTGTCCTGGGTTGGAACCCCGTTTCAAAAAATGGCTGGATCCGCCCCTGAAACGTGTTACATGTGTATACGAATGGAACAAATGAAAAATAACAAGACAGGTGTACGAGCAGCTCAATATAGATAAATCGGATTTCGTCTATTTTAGGGTGTGCTTCAAACAGACCTTGAAAATGTGCAGAAACACGGAAAGTTTTTTGGGTATGTGTAACAGTGAATGTTATAATAAATGAAGATATATGCTGAATTATGGCATCTTACTTTAGATAAACGATTCCTTTAGATAGATAATAATGGTAAACAAAGATTGCTATTACATTTGCGACTGTACATTTAATATTTTAATCAATATTCAAATGTGAAGTAGTTAGTTAAGTCTAAAACACAACCGAACATGCAAATACCAAACACAAAAGGAGACCAGATACCTGACATATAAGACATTTAGCATTAAAACTGAAACGTTTTCTTTCAAATCTTTCCAGAAAATTACCAATTTTTGGTCAAGTATAGTTGAGGTGTGTCTAAAATGTTGGAAAATCATGAAAAATGGTGTGTTTATGCCCCCGCTGTAGCAGAGGGGGCATTAAGTTTTATCCTTGTCCATACGTACGTCCGTACGTCCGTCCTTCCGTCCGTACGTCCCAAATTTGGTTTTCGTTCTCTAACTTTAGTTTGCCCGAACCAAATGTTATGATCTTATACACAGTGCTTATTACCACAAAACACAGATCAAGTTTGAATTTTGGTGGTGTCTCTTTAACTGTTCTAGAGTTATGCCCCTTTACAAATGAAAAAATTGCTGATTTTTCATTTCCGTTCTCTGACTTTAGTTTGCCTCAACCAAATGTTATGAAACTTATACACAATGCTTATTACCACAAAGCACAGATCAAATTTGAATTTTGGTGGCGTCATTTTTACTGTTCTAGAGTTATGTCCCTTTACAAATGGAAAAATTGCTGAATTTTTTGTTTCCGTTCTCTAAATTTAGTTTGCCTCAACCAAATGTAATGAAACTTATACACAATGCTTATTACATCAAAATACAGATCAAATTTGAATTTTGGTGGTATCACTTTAACCGTTCCAGAACTATGCCTGTTTACAATGGAAAAAATGCTGAATTTTTCGTTTCCGTTCTCCAACTTAAGTTTACCTCAACCAAATGTTATGAAACTTATACACAATGCTTATTACCACAAAATACAGATCAAGTTTTAATTTTGGTGGCGTCACTTTTACTGTTCTAGAGTTATGTCCCTTTACAGATGGCAAAATTGCTGAATTTTTCGTTTCCGTTCTCAAACTTAAGTTGGCCTCAACCAAATGTTATGAAACTTATACACAATACTTATTACTACAAAACTCAGATCAAGTACAAATTTGGGTAGCGTCACTTTTACCATTCTTCAGTTATGTCCCTTTTATAACTTTATATGATATGCAAGCGGGGCATGATCATTAGTGTCCCATGGACACATTCCCGGTTAATTTTTTTCTACACAATATTAATGTAGTAGCAAATAAATATTTTATATATTTTTCGCGCCGATTGAAGGAAAGACGGTATTGATTACCGATATGATCTAAATGTAAATGTATAGTACATGTACAACTTGGATAAATCATCTTCCAAAAACTCGATTCTTTTCATCTCATATTTGAAATGTCATATGCTCAATCCTTATATTTTAGGCAGTATGCTGGAAATTTGTCTTCACTAACTGTCTCTGATGTTGATATCATAAAACAAATTTGCATCAAAGATTTCTCAAAATTTCCAAACAGGCTGGTAAGTAATCATTTGTATATAGTGAATACAATTTAAAAAATAATAAATCGTATTGTTTACTTTTTCAACAACAAGAAAGATTGGATTTCGAATTGTCACCTAAGCCAATAGATAATAATGTATACTAGTCAACAAAAGAAACGATACAAGGCAATGTATTTTCCATATATAATGAAATTGGATAGACTGTACCAAGGTAAATAATTGCCCAAATGGTCTAATATTTTACAGAGTGTTATTTCTTATCAAAACCATTGATTTAAGGCAAATACACGAATAATTTTTTTTGCAATTTTTGTTATTTCAAAAATCGTATTTTCACCCAAAAATTAAAACATCTATATTAGAACTTAAAACTTTAAACTTAAACATGGTCTGCTTTGAAAATTTTGAATGCCTTTGAAGATGTTCGAATACTTAATTCTCATCTTCGAAATTAAGAGCCGACTTTTGTCATCATCTTCCGCAAAATAAATTTGACACCTATGTTCAATAACACGGGGGGCCTCGGTGGCCAAGTGGTCTAAGTAGTTATTACTGTAATCACTAGCCAGTCAACACTGAGGTTGTGAGTTCGAACCCCGCTCGTGCGGGTGCACTCGACTCCAATCTTAATTGACTAGGATTGTCAGTTTTCCTATCGAAGGTCGGTGGTTTTCTCCGGGCACTCCTGCTTCCTCCACCAATAAAAACTGGCCGCCACGAAATAGCCCAAAAGCGGTGCTTAAAAGTGGCGTTAAAACACCAAAAATCAATCAATCAATCAATCAATAACACGGTATTTTCTCACTTTTCAATTTGGCCAGTTTCTTTTAATCATATGCATTTGCTTTGCAAATGAATGTTTTTCATTGGATAATTTAACAGTTTTTTCTATATAAAATATCTTATGATAAATTGGGAGTTCAAACTTGTGTATCGTTACTTTTGTTGACTAGTATATAACAATGCAATGAAGTTACGGCAACATTTGTAATTCACAACAAGTAGAAAGAAGTATTATAAGCATAGATCAAGGCATGAAATAACAATATATCGAAGGATTAATTATGCTATTGTTGTTCTTTGTGTTATCAGGTACTGTAGCTCTTTTCGCAAACGGGGCCTTAGTGGCCGAGTGATCTAAGTTGTCGAACTACTGTATCACTAGCCTGTCAACACAGAGGTTGTGAGTTAGAATCCCGCACGTGGCAGGTGCGCTCGATTCCAATGTTAATTGACTAGAATTATCAGTTTTCCTACCGACGGTCGATGGTTCTCTCTGGTCACTCTGTCTTCCTCCACCAATTAAAACCTAACCGCCACGAAATAGTACTATATCTATAGTGCTGAAACTGCATTTGAACATTAAAAAATAATTAACTGACGAAGGGTACACCACAGTTGAGTGTACAAAATCAATCATTATACTGTTAAAAACCCGGTCTCGAATCATCAATTCACTTTTTGTTTATACTAAGCATTAATGTTTTACCTTTGATATTCAGGGATATCCAAAGTTGTTTTCTTCTAGGTCCGCTCTTTGCGTAAAGACTGTGTCTCAACAAGACTTGTTGTGGGGGTCGTCAGTCTATCAATACATCTTGCGGAGATCTTTCCTTATTTCTGCCAACATGTATAAAAATCCATCTTTGCTTTGACAGGCCCTCGTTTTTCCTTTTTTTTCAGGACAGTAAAGTTATCTTTTTTCATTTCTCGTCGTTTTTGCTTATGTTATTCCATATGCATATAAGGTTATATTCAATAAAACATGAACACATCTTTATGATGTACATTTACTTGTTTGCTTTAACAATCACATACTGTGGATTCATTTATTTCCGTGGGTACCAATTTTTGTGGATTAAGGAAAACTTACATGTTTGTTGATGTTTAATTTCGTGGTTTTGCCAAGGTGTGCATACAATCCTATAGAAAATTTGTTATTCGTTGAACATTTAATTTTGTGGTTCACCTGTACCCACGAAATCCACGAAAATTAGTATCCAACGAATAATATTGAATCCACAGTATACTGTTCTCTTTGTTCTGCCAATAATCAGGAGGTTTGTGTTATCCCATAAATAGTTTACATGTCTCATTCTTTCTGCTTGTATATCTTTGACTATTCAGAGATTTGGTAAGATAGTCAGATCTTCGGACGTTTCTTTTTAAATTATTTTAAACATGCTTACTCTTAAGAATTTTTATATTTTGGTTTAAACTACGTTGTACCTTTTGACCTATCTTCTTGGACTATGTCAATCTTATACTGCAGTGTTGTGAAAATAGATGTGTCAATATTTTTATTTTTTATGCGCCTGGGTTGGATAGCTTTATATTTTGCAGCCATATCATTTTTCCTTTATTTCATATTTTCTATTAAGATTTTGCAGCATGGTCGAAGCTCTTCCCCACTAGTAAATATCTCTTTTTCATGTGTGTCTTATTCATGATAAGGTTCTTTTTCGTCCCAGACATTGTGTATTCATACTGGTAATGCCATTGCTTCTTTTGTCTGTTTAACTAATCAGTAAAAGAGTTTTATGACTGTATCTCTAAAAACATTTTGCTCAATAGTTCACATACAAAAAAGGATATGTAGTCTGATATTAAATGAGACAAATATTCAAGAAGAACTTAAGGACACGGATTAAAACAACTACAGGTCATCGTACAGCCTTCAACAATGAGCATTGATCATATCGTAAAGTAAACTTAAATGACCACAGGATAACAAAATGTGAAACCATTTTTCATAAAAGAAAAAAAAAATAACGACGTGTCCCTCTTTGGTAAAATGTTAACTGAGATTGAATACTTTGACCTGTTAATGATCAACACATTGATATAATACACTTATAATGCAAGTATATAAATAATCATATTGAGGGTTTTGTATGTTGTGATAGATTTCATTCTTCTGCTAGTCTGACTGTATATTGTAATATATTGAAAAGGCTAAAGGTGATAACACTGATCCCTATATGAAGGATGCCATGTCACTTACACGTGACGAACACTGGAAGTTTTTGAGATCATCAATTTCTCCTACCTTTTCCTCCGGAAAAATGAGACAGGTAAGGAAATTTAATCCATAATTTTATGTTACTTGGGATTTTTTATGCAATATTTTAAGATCACATTTCAATCTCGTGTATTTCCTTTGTCTTTTCTCTCACAACACTTTAAACTAACTCAAAATAAACAAAACAAACAATTCTGTTTTGTCGTATGCCGGATATATGATAGAGTAAACTTAAATATACAGTAAGTAAGTAAGTAAATTATTTATTATAGTGACATGTGTAAATATGTACAGATTATAAACATACAATATATTATAAATATTAATATTAATACACCCGGCCCAATGGACCTATAAGTCACCTCAAATGAAATTAAATAATTATAAAACAATTTTATCACGTTCTTCAAAATATCAAATTATTCATGAAATTATCTTTTTGTTGACGAATGTTAATTTTAAAAAATATAAAGATATTAAGCTATTTGTAAACAGAATTGCGTCTTTTGAAATATGCCTGTACGATGTATTTGGCTAGTTTTCGAGTATGACTTATAATTAAAAAAATAAGCTTTTCATTATTGTCCATAGATATAAAGGAAGTAGTTAATAAAAATTCACCAAACACATGTTCTCGTATATCAGAATAGAATGTACAGTCTAGTAAAAAATGAGTTTCAGTTTCGGTCACGTCTGCAGTACAAAATTTACAGAGTCTTTCTTCTGGTCTTTCACCAATATATCGTCCTGTTTCAATCCTCAGAGGTAATATTCCACATCTGAATTGTGCTAAATGCGAGCGTTCGACTTTGGTTAAATTGATTTTTACATACTGTTCTTGATTAAAGGCAGATTTGAAAGTTATATAAGTACGAAGTTTTGGCACTTGTTGTATATTATCATTCCATATGTTTGAATAAAGGCGCTGAATGTTCATTTCTACAGTTCTCAAATTAATAGCAGTTTTTGAATCAAAATAATGTTCTAAATTAAGTTTACAGAGAATGTCTTTCAATTCGCTACACCAGTTGTCGGTACAACGGTTATAGTCTGCATTAAAAGCGAGCTTCGTTATGCGATCATCTTCAAACTTGAGTAGTCTGTTCCAATACCTCACCATGTTTGTCCATCTTCGAAACTGGCTTGGGATCCATCCAACATCCCCATGTAGGGCAAGAGTGGGCGCAAAACGGTGAACACCAAGAAAATATCGTATTGTACGGTTTTGAATATTGTCTATTGTTTGAAATTTTCTGTATCCCCAAACACTTGAGGCATAATCTAAGATAGGAACTACACACGAGTAATACAGTTTTTCGTAGGCATTAAATCCGAAGTCTTTATTGTTGTGAATTTTGGATATGATCGTCCCTAGTGCTCTCCCACCGCCTTTCGACAAATTTTCCGCGTTGGTTATGAAATTTCCGTTATGACCGAATGTAATCCCTAAATATTTGTAATTTTCGGCCTTCTCCAATTTGTTTTTTCCAACTGTAAATTCAAAATTAGTTTCTTTAGTTCTTGGTTTTCTGAAATGAATACATTTAGATTTATCTGTATTGATTAACACCCTCCATCGTTTACACCATTGGTGAAGTGTGTTCAACATACACTGAAGATCCTCAGCCGACTTTGCAACTAACGCTATATCATCCGCATACAATAATAATGATAACTTCGTTTCAAGTAAGTCTACCCCAAGATTAAGGTCATTAATTTCTTGGACAAGATCGTTTATAAATATGGAGAAGAGTGTCGGCGATAAATTATCTCCTTGTTTCACACCAGTTTTACAGCAAAACCACGATGTTAGTTTACCGTTAATACGAACACATGACTCAGAACTTTGGTATATACTTTTTACAGAATTGTACAACTTCCCATCAATTTTATTCAGCAAAAGTTTGTATAACATCATATCTCTGTCAATAAAATCAAAACATTTCTTCAGATCGATGAATGCAACAAATACTGATTTATTATTTCTAATAACACTATTCAAAGTAAATATATGGTCTTCACATGATCTATTTTTTCTAAACCCATTTTGTTCGTCGGCAAGAATATCATTATTTTCAAGATGACTGACGAGCCGTTGATTGATAAAAGAACTATACAATTTGCTAGTGCACGACAAAAGACTTATACCTCTATAGTTCATTGGTACTCGGAGATCTGATGACGGGTCTTTCAATATTGGACATATGATGGCTTTTCTCCAGATGGTTGGAATTATACTGGTGTCAAATATTAGTTGGAAGAGTTGTTGCAATGTTTGAATGATTATCGGGTACTTTAAAACGCCGTACGGAATTTGGTCGGGTCCACTTGCTGATTTTGATTTTGCATGCATTACTATATTAGTTATTTCACCAATCGTAATATTAGAGTTTAAATCCTCATTCGGCATAAACAACGGATCTTCCATTTCAGATTCCAATAACTGTTTATGAACTTTTGACTGATTATAATGGTCGTTTTCAAATTCGGTGTTGTTTTTCCCGTTGTAAAGATTTTCAAAATCGATACGCCATTTGTTAAGTACGTCCTTCTCGTTCGTTAAGACTTCACCAGATTCATCAAAGACTTCCATCGGAATATCCTTCACATTTCTAGGACCAAGCTTTCTGATCTTTTCCCAGAACTCATTAGGATTCGTTGTTACCATTGTTTCAATATCGACTGCCATAGCTTTCTTGTATGTGCGTTCCGTTCGTCTAAGATTTTTATCAAAAACATCTCTCGCTTGACTGTACTCGCGTCTGAGAGCTGATTTAACATTTCGATTTCCGTCACACTGTACAAAATCCTTTTCTTTGTGTCGCATATCATTCCATAAATTCGTTAGGTTATCATTCCAATACGGTTTCCGGTTTTTAAGTCTTTTGTTGGCTCTATCATATCCAGTTTTCGGTATTTTTTCGTTCATTTCGGTTAAAATTACAGTGCACAAATTGTCATAAATTTTGTCTACATTATCTTGGGTTTCCCTACATCGCTCAATTTTATCAATTACCTCAAATAGTGCGGACCTTCTAATATCGCTTGCCATGAAATCTAACGGAATGCGGTCAAGCTTGAAACGCGGTTGACAGTTAGTTTGATCTTTAATCCTATACGATAGTCCATGATGCGTAACTTTAAATTCACACATAATAACCGAATGATTAGGTAATTTTGATTTGTCACCAATTAGTTCTAGCAACCTATTGTCGTTAACAATTGACTGAATAGTTAACACTTTGAAGTAATTCAAATATTCATAAATATCCTGCGGGACGCATATATAATTTACTACGGCCTTCCCTTTTTTCGATATAGAGGTAAAATTGTCATTAGGGAATCTTCCGTTGAGTACACAAAATTTGGCTTCATTCAGAAAATCTAATAGTTCGTGTCCGTGCTGATTGATACTTTTGTCTAACGGTTGTCTTTTTGGTAGATTATCGATATCATTCAATGTTTCCGAAAGAGATCCAATTCGTGAATTAAAGTCTCCTATCAAATATATTCCATCATTCTCGTTGTTCATGTATATTTGCGATAACAGATGTGCATAGAAACTTTGAGCGTCACGGCCTCTACTAGAGTTCTCTGGAGGCAAATAACACGCAAATACAAGAAATTCAAATTCAGTTGAACGGCCGGTAAATTTTATTCCAAGAATTCCATCAAATGACTTATCAACCACGGAAACATTAAAAAGTTCAAATAGCCAGTTTTTTACAAGTACCCCGACTCCACCAGATGCTTTAGGCGCATTTCTGTGTATTTTAGATCTATTAAAGCCAAACCATGTATACCCAGGGACACTAATTTTATCTTGGCTAGTAAGATGAGTTTCACATAGGGACATTATATCACAATTAGTTGCTTTGATAATTTCAATTCTCAATGTACTGTTTTCATTTGTCCATCCACAAATATTTAAATGACATAGTTTAATTGAGTCAATAGGCCGGGTGGGCTGTTACGGATGATCATTTTCTTGGGTCTCAGGTTGTGTAGTTTGTTGAAGATTTCTTGATTTAATGCGTCCGTTTGCATCAACACGTAGGCCTCTTGCTTGAGCATTAGGTAGATTACGCAGCACAGCATGTGCATTCATTTCGATCAAGCGTTCTATTCGAGATTTACTGCTTTTTATGTAGACTTTATTGTATACGGCAGTGTCTTTTAGTTTCATTTTGTTTCTCAGAACTTGTACTTTTTCGTGCGTGTTTCGAAAGCTTATTTTCACGATTCCGGGTCTGTTGGTAGATCTTGTTGGTAAGCGTACCGCACCAGTTACTCGGACGTTCTGAGTAACCTCATCTCCAAGAGCGGAAATTAAGCTCTCGGCTTTTTGTATCAGATTTTCGTGTTCTGTAACCGGAATACCACTGGCTGTTATTGTTATTTCATACATGTATTGTTTAATGTTGAGATACAGGGAAAGGACAAATTATAGCACAAGACTACTTTTCTTATCCGTACCCTCTTTTTTGTGTAAATTGCGTTATTCGGAGAGGGAGACTTATTGTGCAACATCAATTACTTTTAACAATGCAGTGGACAGAAATATGATTCTTTGAAAATTAAGTGTTGCCTTTACAATAACAATCAAAGTTTTGAATAAAACATATTTTTTTCATCCGTTGTTGTTCATCTAAACACAATATTTATGATTGAAAAAATAAATTATCTGCATGAAAGATTAACACGATGAAGTTTTGCAGTTAAATATCGGTATTGGTTTTGAAATTAAACCCTTGATTAAATTGTTTCTTAAAAGTCTTTAAGTTAAGGATTTTTAGATAACCGTAGATGTACAAGATGAAAAGGACATTTTAATCAATTGTATGCGTCCAAAGCAATTTCCTTGATTTACCTCCATTCGGAACTTTTCAAGCCGAATATTTAAAGGCAAATGATGTATATAAGTACCAATAATACGTGAAGAGCTATATGACCAAAAGGGATTGAAAAAATTAAGCAAAAATCCATCTTAGGTCAACTTCCTAAGAATGTTTTCTTCATTAAGTTTTGCTTCATATAGCTGGTATGGCGATCGTAAGTGGGTGTGTTGAGGCTGCAGTAGTTGTATGTAACTTTCTGTCCGATAACAGTTTTCTCGTTAAGACGTTATTGAATAGTTGACATATCCTTATGAAATTTCAACAGAAGGTTTCTTGCATGAAACAAATGGTGGTAAGGATATAAGGGCTTTTGATCGTTCTTGTTACTGCGAGGGAATTGTACAGATCACTTGCTTTTAGGAAATAAAAAGAAGAATTGGTGTACCAATTATTGTTTTCTTGCCTTTTTACAAAATATTGTAAAATTTTCATTGATTTACAATGATGTCAAGTTTTCTCTTTCATCGTGGGAAATGGTACAACTGACTGCCACTTTAAATACCAAAATTATAATGTATGTATATTTTTCTCAGATGACGCCATTACTTCAGAGATGTGTTAATGACATGGTTGAAAAAATGAAGAAAGATACAGAAAATGGAGAAGTAGTGGATGTGTGCAAGTAAGAGAAAATCTAATACGATTAGTAATGGAAACCCTTAAGATAATGTTAATGTCAATCCACAAGGTAGCCAGGGCAAACAGTTTTACTCTTGTCCACCTTATCTTCATTCATTTTTTTATGCCCCCGTGACAAAATGTCAAACACATAATGGAGGTGTGCATGGCCACAGGATTTTGATTTCTTTTAAATATTCTGAAAATGACAGGTAGTTGGACTTAGTCATTTTTTTTGGTACTAGCTGCATAAAGAGATCATGGTTTGTCCGGCTATCTCCTCCTACAGTTTTGGAGATACAATTTGAATATTTTGTAGGATGTTCAAACACATAATGGAGGTGTGCATGGCCACAGGATTTTGATTTTTTTTTTCAAATATTCTGAAAATGACAGGTAGTTGGACTAAGTCATTTTTTTGGTCAGACGGGGACAGCGTAACAAATTCAAGTTGTATGCCAACATCACTGTTTGTCAAATCTAAAATATGTGGAACTATACTTATGCAAATGGCAGAGCAGAAAAGGAGGGGGGGATTGTCCATATCTAGTTTAGATATAAGGTTGTACACCTTTGTCCTACACAATGATAAGTTATAAAAAAGATGAAATATTGTTCATTGTACTTCTCATCAGTTTTATTTTTAGTATGTAGTTGCATTATAATGTTAAGATGAGTCACAAATCTGATTCAGTTAATCTTTTGAAGGAATTATGACCTTCAAAAACTAAAATAAGAACATTACACATTTCATAAATTTCAACTGTTAAATATATATCGGTGAATGTTGCATTAAAATATCTTTAGTGGTGGAGTTGGTATTATGTTCAAGTTATCTTACTTTTGATTTTTAAAAAAATGGTGCTTGGATAAAAATTTTCTTGAAAATTGTATTTTTTGAAACCTTTTTGTACTTGCTTTTATAAAATTTCCTAAAATTGCAATTGTACATGTATGTAATGATTTTTGGTTGGCAATATTGATGTGTGAGAAGTCGGATAATAAGGTAATAGGCCGTACACATTTATTTACACAGAATAATGGCCCTTTCCATCCAAAAGTTGGTGAATCATCAATGGATTTTTATCAGAGAAACATCCTCTAGCTTAGTCGGATATTACTGTCATGTCTTTAGATATATGTGTAGTGTTTTGTGGACTGTTGTGTGTCTCATGTAATAGTTGGGATACTACTGTCATGTCTTTAGATATATGTGAAGTGTTTTGTGGACTGTTATTTGTCCCATGTAATAGTTGGGATTTTACTGTCATGTCTTTAGATATATGTGTAGTGTTTTGTGGACTGTTATTTGTCCCATGTAATAGTTGGGATTTTACTGTCATGTCTATAGATATATGTACAGTGTTTTGTGGACTGTTGTTTGTCCCATGTAATAGTTGGGATATTACTGTCATGTCTTTAGATATATGTACAGTGTTTTGTGGACTGTTGTTTGTCCCATGTAATAGTTGGGATATTACTGTCATGTCTTTAGATATATGTGTAGTGTTTTGTGGACTGTTATTTGTCCCATGTTATAGTTGGGATATTACTGTCATGTCTTTAGATATATGTGTAGTGTTTTGTGGACTGTTATTTGTCCCATGTAATAGTTGGGATACTACTGTCATGTCTTTAGATATATGTGTAGTGATTTGTGGACTGTTATTTGTCCCATGTTATAGTTGGGATATTACTGTCATGTCTATAGTAATATGTGTAGTGTTTTGTGGACTGTTGTTTGTCCCATGTTATAGTTGGGATATTACTGTCATGTCTTTAGATATATGTGTAGTGATTTGTGGACTGTTATTTGTCCAATGTTATAGTTGGGATATTACTGTCATGTCTATAGTAATATGTGTAGTGTTTTGTGGACTGTTGTTTGTCCCATGTTATAGTTGGGATATTACTGTCATGTCTTTAGATATATGTGTAGTGATTTGTGGACTGTTATTTGTCCAATGTTATAGTTGGGATATTACTGTCATGACTTTAGATATATGTGTAGTGTTTTGTGGACTGTTATTTGTCCCATGTTATAGTTGGGATATTACTGTCATGTCTATAGTAATATGTGTAGTGTTTTGTGGACTGTTGTTTGTCCCATGTTATAGTTGGGATATTACTGTCATGTCTTTAGATATATGTGTAGTGTTTTGTGGACTGTTATTTGTCCCATGTAATAGTTGGGATACTACTGTCATGTCTATAGATGTATGTGTAGTGTTTTGTGGACTATGGTTTGTCCCATGTAATAGTTGGGATATTACTGTCATGTCTTTAGGTATATGTGTAGTGTTTTGTGGACTGTTATTTGTCCCATGTAATAGTTGGGATACTACTGTCATGTCTATAGATATATGTGTAGTGATTTGTGGACTGTTGTTTGTCCCATGTTAAAGTTGGGATATTACTGTCATGTCTATAGTAATATGTGTAGTGTTTTGTGGACTGTTGTGTGTCTCATGTAATAGTTGAATTGGGACACTACTGCCATGTGTTTAGATATATGTGTAGTGTTTTGTAGATTTTTATTTGTCCCATGTAATAGTTGGGATACTACTGTCATGTCTTTAGATATATGTACAGTGTTTTGTGGACTGTTGTTTGTCCCATGTTAAAGTTGGGATATTACTGTCATGTCTATAGTAATATGTGTAGTGTTTTGCGGACTGTTGTGTGTCTCATGTAATAGTTGAATTGGGACACTACTGCCATGTGTTTAGATATATGTGTAGTGTTTTGTAGATTTTTATTTGTCCCATGTAATAGTTGGGATACTACTGTCATGTCTTTAGATATATGTACAGTGTTTTGTGGACTGTTGTTTGTCCCATGTTAAAGTTGGGATATTACTGTCATGTCTATAGTAATATGTGTAGTGTTTTGTGGACTGTTATTTGTCCCATGTTATAGTTGGGATACTACTGTCATGTCTATAGATCTATATAAAGTGTTTTGTGGACTGTTGTTTGTCTCATGTTATAGTTGGGATACTACTGTCATGTCTTTAGATATATGTGTAGTGTTTTGTGGACTGTTGTGTGTCTCATGTAATAGTTGAATTGGGACACTACTGCCATGTGTTTAGATATATGTGTAGTGTTTTGTAGATTTTTATATGTCCCATGTAATAGTTGGGATACTACTGTCATGTCTTTAGATATATGTACAGTGTTTTGTGGACTGTTGTTTATCCCATGTTAAAGTTGGGATATTACTGTCATGTCTATAGTAATATGTGTAGTGTTTTGTGGACTGTTATTTGTCCCATGTTATAGTTGGGATACTACTGTCATGTCTATAGATCTATATAAAGTGTTTTGTGGACTGTTGTTTGTCTCATGTTATAGTTGGGATACTACTGTCATGTCTTTAGATATATGTGTAGTGTTTTGTGGACTGTTGTGTGTCTCATGTAATAGTTGAATTGGGACACTACTGCCATGTGTTTAGATATATGTGTAGTGTTTTGTAGATTTTTATTTGTCCCATGTAATAGTTGGGATACTACTGTCATGTCTTTAGATATATGTACAGTGTTTTGTGGACTGTTGTTTGTCCCATGTTAAAGTTGGAATATTACTGTCATGTCTATAGTAATATGTGTAGTGTTTTGTGGACTGTTATTTGTCCCATGTTATAGTTGGGATACTACTGTCATGTCTATAGATCTATGTAAAGTGTTTTGTGGACTGTTGTGTGTCTCATGTAATAGTTGAATTGGGACACTACTGCCATGTGTTTAGATATATGTGTAGTGTTTTGTAGATTTTTATTTGTCCCATGTAATAGTTGGGATACTACTGTCATGTCTATAGATCTATGTACAGTGTTTTGTGGACTGTTGTTTGTCCCATGTTATAGTTGGGATATTACTGTCATGTCTATAGTAATATGTGTAGTGTTTTGTGGACTGTTATTTGTCCCATGTTATAGTTGGGATATTACTGTCATGTCTATAGATATATGTGTAGTGATTTGTGGACTGTTATTTGTCCCATGTTATAGTTGGGATATTACTGTCATGTCTATAGTAATATGTGTAGTGTTTTGTGGACTGTTATTTGTCCTATGTAATAGTTGGGATATTACTGTCATGTCTATAGTAATATGTGTAGTGTTTTGTGGACTGTTATTTGTCCCATGTAATAGTTGGGATATTACTGTCATGTCTATAGTAATATGTGTAGTGTTTTGTGGACTGTTATTTGTCCCATGTAATAGTTGGTATACTACTGTCATGTCTTTAGATATATGTGTAGTGTTTTGTGGACTGTTGTTTGTCCCATGTAATAGTTGGGATATTACTGTCATGTCTATAGTAATATGTGTAGTGTTTTGTGGACTGTTGTTTGTCCCATGTAATAGTTGGGATATTACTGTCATGTCTATAGTAATATGTGTAGTGTTTTGTGGACTGTTGTTTGTCCCATGTAATAGTTGGAATAGTACTGTCATGTCTTTAGATATATGTGTAGTGTTTTGTGGACTGTTGTGTGTCTCATGTTATAGTCGGGACACTACTTTCATGTCTATAAATATATGTGTAGTGTTTTTTGGACTGTTATTTGTCTCATGTAATAGTTGGGATATTACTGTCATGTCTATAGTAATATGTGTAGTGTTTTGTAGATTTTTATTTGTCCCATGTAATAGTTGGGATACTACTGCCATGTCTATAGATATATGTAAAGTGTTTTGTGGACTGTTGTGTGTCTTATGTAATAGTTTGGATACTACCGTCATGTCTATAGACATATGTGTAGTGTTTTGTAGATTTTTATTTGTCCCATGTAATAGTTGGGATACTACTGTCATGTCTTTAGATATATGTACAGTGTTTTGTGGACTGTTGTTTGTCTCATGTAATAGTTGGGATATTACTGTCATGTCTTTAGATATATGTGTAGTGATTTGTGGACTGTTATTTGTCTCATGTAATAGTTGGGATATTACTGTCATGTCTATAGTAATATGTGTAGTGTTTTGTGGACTGTTGTTTGTCCCATGTAATAGTTGGGATATTACTGTCATGTCTATATACATATGGGTAGTGTTTTGTGGACTGTTGTGTGTCTCATGTTATAGTCGGGACACTACTTTCATGTCTATAAATATATGTGTTGTGTTTTTTGGACTGTTATTTTTCTTATGTAATAGTTGGGATATTACTGTCATGTCTATAGATGTATGTGTAGTGTTTTGTGGACTGTTATGTGTCTCATGTAATAGTTGGGATACTACTGTCATGTCTATAGATCTATGTAAAGTGTTTTGTGGACTGTTGTTTGTCTCATGTTATAGTTTGGATACTACTGTCATGTCTATAGACATATGTGTAGTGTTTTGTAGATTTTTATTTGTCCCATGTAATAGTTGGGATACTACTGTCATGTCTATAGATATATGTAAAGTGTTTTGTGGACTGTTGTGTGTCTCATGTAATATTTTGGATACTACCGTCATGTCTATAGACATATGTGTAGTGTTTTGTAGATTTTTATTTGTCCCATGTAATAGTTGGGATGCTACTGTCATGTCTATAGATATATGTAAAGTGTTTTGTGGACTGTTGTGTGTCTGATGTAATAGTTTGGATACTACCGTCATGTCTATAGACATATGTGTAGTGTTTTGTGGACTGTTGTGTGTCTGATGTAATAGTTGGGATACTACTGTCATGTCTATAGACATATGTGTAGTGTTTTGTAGATTTTTATTTGTCCCATGTAATAGTTGGGATGCTACTGTCATGTCTATAGATATATGTAAAGTGTTTTGTGGACTGTTGTGTGTCTGATGTAATAGTTTGGATACTACCGTCATGTCTATAGACATATGTGTAGTGTTTTGTAGATTTTTATTTGTCCCATGTAATAGTTGGGATACTACTGTCATGTCTTTAGATATATGTACAGTGTTTTGTGGACTGTTGTGTGTCTCATGTAATATTTTGGATACTACCGTCATGTCTATAGACATATGTGTAGTGTTTTGTAGATTTTTATTTGTCCCATGTAATAGTTGGGATGCTACTGTCATGTCTATAGATATATGTAAAGTGTTTTGTGGACTGTTGTGTGTCTGATGTAATAGTTTGGATACTACCGTCATGTCTATAGACATATGTGTAGTGTTTTGTAGATTTTTATTTGTCCCATGTAATAGTTGGGATACTACTGTCATGTCTTTAGATATATGTACAGTTTTTTGTGGACTGTTGTTTGTCCCATGTTAAAGTTGGGATATTACTGTCATGTCTATAGATATATGTAAAGTGTTTTGTGGACTGTTGTGTGTCTCATGTAATATTTTGGATACTACCGTCATGTCTATAGACATATGTGTAGTGTTTTGTAGATTTTTATTTGTCCCATGTAATAGTTGGGATGCTACTGTCATGTCTATAGATATATGTAAAGTGTTTTGTGGACTGTTGTGTGTCTCATGTAATAGTTTGGATACTACCGTCATGTCTATAGACATATGTGTAGTGTTTTGTAGATTTTTATTTGTCCCATGTAATAGTTGGGATACTACTGTCATGTCTTTAGATATATGTACAGTGTTTTGTGGACTGTTGTTTGTCCCATGTAATAGTTGGGATATTACTGTCATGTCTTTAGATATATGTGTAGTGTTTTGTGGACTGTTATTTGTCCCATGTAATAGTTGGGATATTACTGTCATGTCTTTAGATGTATGTGTAGTGTTTTATGGACTGTTATTTGTCCCATGTAATAGTTGGGATACTACTGTCATGTCTTTAGATATATGTGTAGTGTTTTGTGGACTATTGTTTGTCCCATGTAATAGTTGGGATATTACTGACATGTTTATAGTAATATGTGTAGTGTTTTGTGGACTATTGTTTGTCCCATGTAATAGTTGGGATATTACTGTCATGTCTTTAGATATATATGTAGTGATTTGTGGACCGTTATTTGTCCCATGTAATAGTTGGGATATTACTGTCATGTCTATATACATATGTGTAGTGTTTTTGGACATTGTGTTATCTGTCTATCTTCAACAGATGTTATTAAATTATTTCTTACTTTTGCATAGAGGGGGGATTTTATTGTATCATGATTGGGAGATGTTATTTTTTGAACATCAACACAGACAATAAACATATCTGTAGTCCGGCGGAAACCCAGTTAAAATTAAACAAAAGAAGAGAAAGTAAAAAAGGCCAAGATGGTAAAATTGAATTTTTTACATCTGTTTCTATGGGCTTTAAAATGATAATGAAGGATTGTATGCATCTTTTAAATGTGTTTTTACTTAAATTATGGTATGGAGCTTTAAGATATTTGTAAACTTTAAAATTGTAGACAAATTTTCAAAAAAACAGTCGATTGTGGTAGGTACAAATACATGTGGATCTTTTTTTGTGCATAAGCATAAATTCCGCCGAAAAAAATTCGAAAGAAAGATAATAGATATATCTTTTTAAAGCATTAATTTGCATCTCTGCCACCGATGACAGTTTTTTGGGAAAATAACCCCAAAATGGACAATAATTTCAATGAAATGAGAAAGTTGAGTACTACACCTTTTATGTTCAAGCAAGTTTGTGTTGACTATTATGTCTTGAAAAGGTATAAAAGAAAAAAAAATTGATACACCATCTCGCTTCAGATTCTATTATTTTTATATATTTAGGCTTTAGGTTGATATAATAACATTTAAAATTTACAGTACTAAAAATTAAATATATGGGTCAAGTGAAATACTTTCTAATGAGTCATAACAACTGTTACAACAAAGTAGGTGAGTTCAGATAACAAATTTTTACTAAAAGTACTTGACGACAGACTTTTCAAGTGGATCTTAAAAAAGCATAACTTCAAAAAAAACTTCGTTTTTTTTGTGTGTGTTATCTAGGGTAATTAATCTTTAACCTCTGAAAATTTTTAGTCTGCCCTTCCACGAAATATTTAATTAGAATTTTTTTAAATATTTTTGAACTTTCGAAAATTCCCCCTGACAAACGATCATACAATTGTTTAAATATAAAAAAAGAAGATGTGGTATGATTGCCAATGAGACAACTCTCCACAAGAGACCAAATGACACAGAAATTAACAACTATAGGTCACCGTACGGCCTTCAACAATGAGCAAAGCCCATACCGTACAGTCAGCTATAAAAGGCCCCGAAATGACAATGTAAAACAATTCAAACGAGAAAACTAACGGCCTAATTTATGTACAAAAAATGAACGAAAAAAAAATATGTAACACATAAACAAACGACAACCACTGAATAACAGGCTTTATTACAGGCCGAATAAAAGTTGACCAAATGCATCAAAGTACATTAAATGATGCTCAATAGCTAGTAGATATATTTGTCTTTTAAAATACAACTGGCAAATAAAGATCGTAATGGTGATATGTGGATAAATTGATCGGTTTTCATGAGCTAAATTGATGGTTCGTCATCACTACAATGGCTTCTATTTTTACGATTATAAAATGGGGAGATAATTTTGACGAAGTAGAATCCTGACTGTAGTGTTTTAACTCAAAAGATTTTTTTAAAGTTTTTAATCGAGTGTCTGATTGTCCAAAATCCCCATACAAGTAACCGAATTTAACTTCGTTATTCCAGTTGTGCGTGGCTACATGCCTCTTTGCATGGGTACTACTGACCGAAAGAAGTCTAGGGGATCATATTTCTATACCTTAATTAAGTAAACCCTTGTAATCCTTTATAAAATAAACATTCTTAAATACCGATATCTGATTAGCTAACCCTAAAGAAACCTGCTAAATTAAGGATGTACAATGAACAAATGTTATAATTACGTCTGTTTATATTATTATTTCTTACAAACCTATGACCAATATACTTATTTTAATATTACACACTCGATAAAAGTATATCTGATAGGTATTGCTGCGTTTGCCCATGTCATCGGCGTTAACACCGAAAATAAAAATTGCATTTTTCTGCAGATACTGTGGTTCGTTTTCAATGGATGTTATAGCCAGTACAGCTTTCGGTATGGACGTAGATGCCCAAAACAATCCAGATAATGCGTTTATCAAGAATGCGAAGAAAGCTTTTTCATCTGGGTTAAAAAATCCTATGGTTTTGTTTATTCGTGAGTAAATTAATCTTCAACCTCAATCCAACTTAATAGAAAAAAATTTTATTGTTGATTTATTGTCCACTTTATGAGACCAAAGTTGTATCTAGTAGACTTGTTAGAAATTGCAGAACACAACACATAGTTTCAAATGAAACATTTTGTTTCACCAAAGAGGTCTTTTACAGAGTTTATCCATGTGTATTCCGGTCGTTGCACTCCGATGGCGATTTCTTTGCGAGAATAGACTTGTTTGCACACCGATAACCTCCTTAAAAGAGCCTTTGTCATTGATAACTATAATTGATGATAATTAAGTAATAAAAAAATCATTTCATGTGGGGAAAATGGATGATAATATTGTCTACGAAATATCCTTTTACCTTTGAAATGGAACTTTTTAATGGATCGAAATTGACAAGTGTGGGAAGAGAAATAACCTTTTTATGCAAAAAAAATCATAATTTGCCGGTTTAATTACAGCATAGTATAAACTCTTTAAACCTTTGTCGTCAAGTTTAATGGAATTGAAATGGTGAATGTGCACAAATGTTGACGATAAGTTTAAACATTTGCTTAAGATCAACTAGTTCATAATATATAACATAATATATTTTAACAACAAAAAAATATGCACCAGCTTCATTTTTTTGGAGGTAAATTTCTATTACACATAACTTCTAAAGAAAGTGTTTGAAATTAGTTAAATATTGACACACTATTGCGAGGGTCAATGGCATCAAATTCTGCGAAAATTACGATTTTTTTAATGTTCAGTTTCTCAAAAAAAAAAAAACACATTTACAACCTCAAAACGAAAAGTTGCCAAATTTGTGAAAACTGAAAACAAGAAAATTTTAATTTCAGTGTTTAATCGATTTTTTTCTAGTGGCCTATCCTCAGACTTTTGATATCTGACTATTTTGGATGAAACCCACATTGTCGCCTTGAGACGAAAATTTCTGTTTAAAGCTGTCGATAAAGGAGAAGGTCCGGTAAAGGCTAATTTTGGCCTAAAATTTGAAGTTCATCTGATGAGAGATTTTTTACTTTTTTTAAACACTTAAGGGTCTACTTCAGTCGATTCAATTAATTTATGAAAAGTATTTGAACTGATTTGGTCTTTAAAGATGCTCAAATTCAAACTTTAATATGAAAAAATCTATCAAATATGCTCTTAAACGTCATTTTTGGGTGGTTTTTGTCTAAAATGTAAGTGGCCGCATTCGTGTTCGGTCTCAACCTTTAAATATGTTATGTATTATCATCAAATACAACATATATTAAAATATTAAGACTGAACACAAGGGCGGTTCCATTTTTGACAAAACCCGTCTAAAAATTTGCACAAATGCTAAAATTGTGAAGATTTCAGTAATTTTGCACGAGTTAATGATGCTAGTACATGATGCATGTGTATTGCATTGTCAAAAACAGTCCATATTTATGTAACAAAAGTATTCTACTTTCCAATGAATAGCTAAAAGTTTACATTTTTAAGAAATTTGTAAAATGCTATATTTTGGGGCCAAAAAGGGGTCTTACCGAGCCAAATCCTTTCAAGGTCATACTTTAAACATACTAGAGTTTTACAAATTTTTACTGAAAACAGGAAATTATAAAACTACTATATGTGGGAAGAAGTAGAACGTTATTTATCTTATCGGGCATAATTACTAACCATCAATTGTCTATGTATGCATTTGTTTTTAGTAAAAACTGGTTTTGCCTTTGAACCTGTTTTCATATAACTAACATTTTGTGACTTTTTATGATTACATAGTTAGGATAAAACTATTTTACAAATCTAGGTTTCAAACAAGTAAACAAAATAACATTAATGTAGCACTTTTGATGTTTACTTGCTCAAGTACCTTTTTCGATCGTCTACCTCTAAGTTCTCTTACTTGTGATTCATCATATTTATTCTTTAATTAATTTCAGTATTTTTCCCTTTCACGAGAAGAATACTTTCATACTTTAAATTATCAACTTTAAGCAAAGAAATGGCGACCTTTTTTCACTCTGCTGTCAACACTGTTATTGAAGAAAGAAAGTCGGAGAGCACGGTAGGTCGAATTACTGTTGTTGAAGAAAGAAATTCAGAGAGCACGGTAGGTCGAATTACTGTTATTGAAGAAAGAAAGTTGGAGAGCACGGTAGGTTTTGAATTAGCATGCCTTTGAATTACTGCTATTGAAGTAAGAAAGTTGGAAATCACAGAGGGTTTTGAATTATTGTTATTGAAGAAGGAAAGTCCGATGATATCACGGTTGTTTTTGAATTACTGTTATTGAAGAAAGAAAATCGGAAAGCACGGTCTGTTTTGAATTACTGTTATTGAAGAAAGAAAGTCTGAAACCACGGTAGGTTTCGAATTACTGTTATTGAAGAAAGAAAGTTGGAAACACAGTAGGTTTTGAATGACTGTTATTGAAGAAAGAAAGTCGGAAAGCACGATAGGTTTCGAATTACTGTTATTGAAGAAAAAAAGTCGCAAACCACGGTAGGTTTCGAATAACTGTTATTGAAGAAAGAACGTCGGAGAACACGGTAAGTTTCATATTACTGTTATTGATGAAAGAAAATTGGAAAGCACGGTATGTTTTGAATTACTTTTATTAAAGAAAGAAAGTCGGAAAGCACGGTAGATTTAGAAATTATACATGTATGTTTTACACGAATATTATGACTTATTTTTTGCGTGCAGTAACTATCCTAAACTAAATCAATAAAACATTTTAACTGTAAGAGTCAATTGTCATTATTAAAATTATCTTAGTTGTACCACTAACAATGTCATGTTGCAGCAGTATCTGAAATTGAGGTTTGAAATATGACATTGCACCCCTTATGTCAATTTAGTTTATTCACATTATGCAACATTTTTAAAGGGGGAAAATACCAATAATTTCTTTGGCAATATAAATTGCATTTTTCTTTTGATGTTTTGATGAAATAATTTGCTTAAAAAGTGTGGTCCATTATCTGCAATTTGATGTTGTACCATACTTTGATAACTCAACATGAAACCCAACTAGAATCTGAGAGGAAGTAGGTGGAGATTAGCTACGGTACAACATGTTCATTTTGGTTTTATCATATACAGTATCAATTGGGTTTTGTCAATCAAATTTGACAAGGCACAGACCATTATTTTTTTTTTGTGGGGGGGGGGGGGGAAGGGACATTTTTTGTTCTTGGATAAATTGGATGATTTGTCCCAGAAAAAGAACAACCTCCCTCTTTGCATCACTCCTTTCATCAATGATGACAGAGTAGTGTACATTTGACATGGGATAATGAAAGAGATTTGATGACTTCGCATGCATCTAATTGGGGGTTGGCAATAAATATTACAGCTAGACAAGGCCATGATCATAAGGATCATGAAAAGTACGAAAATTGGTCACACAGATTATGCTGTCATTATTTTTTTATATTATTTTGGTAAAAAAATAAAGTGTAGGCACGTACCTATAGTGCCTAAAAGCATCTATGCCACTGCTGAATAAGCAAATACATAGTCGTTAAGAAAATCAAGCGAACTTTTATTTCAGAAAAGACAAGACTTATTAGGACTAATGTTAAACGCACATACAGACAAAGAAATAAGTGAAGAACATATAGAATTGTCATCTACAACTCTAAAGGATTTCAAGAAAAGACGTGAGTACATTCATTCATAAGTTTATATTCTAAAAGATAAAAGTTTTTATAAAAGGAGATATGGGGTTCACATGAACGATACAGAAACCTTTCGGACTTAAAACTTAAAGACATTTAAATGTCACTCAACGTACGATTTTCAACAACAGACGGTGTTTATATTACTTTACAAGTTCTAATCCGTCTGATTAAATAAGAAGTTCTGAATAACGAAGACTGTCATGACTTTAGATATGCACCTGAACATGTGACGGGGTCGAACTTCTTTTCTATACCCCCGCCATAGCGGAGGGGGCTTTAAGTTTTACCCTTGTCCGTCTGTCCTTCTGTACGTCTGTCCGTCCCGCAATTGGTTTCCGTTCTCTAACTTTAGTTTGCCTCAACCAAATGTATGAAACTTATACACATTGCTTAATACCACAAAACTCAGATCAAGTATGAATTTAGGGAGCGTCAACTTTACCGTTCTTGTGTTTCTGTCCCTTTATAACGTTAAATGCCAGAGGGGGCATCATATGTGTCCCATGGACACACTCCCCATTTATTTTTATACGCCTGTTTACGGGACGTATTATTGTTTACCGTTGTCCGTCGTCTACATGTCGGACAATAACTAAAAACGTTTTAACCAATTTGCATGAAACTTTGGTGAATTGTTTATATCTATTGACGTGAGCTCCCTTTTTTTTGGATAAATTTTAGATTTTAAGTTTCCGAGTTATTGGGTTTTATTCATTAAAAAAGGGGGATTTTCCAGTTTTTGGACAATAACTCAAAAATACTTTCAGCAGTTCTCATGAAACTTTGTTGAATTGTTAATATCTATTAAGATAACCTCCCTTTAGTTTTTTTAAAATTTCTGATATGATATTGAGAACTTTATTCTTTGAAAAAGCGACGGGCGTATCATGAACTCATGGCGCAGCTGTTTAATTAAAGATATCAACGCTTTCCACTTTATAATTTAGAAAAGCACTCTTAAAATGTACAATCATGAGTATGCGATAGAAATAAGTTCAAGAAAAGCACTTTATATTATATTAACGGAACAAAAGGTTACAAAAACTTGAGTACTAACAAAAATGAAGAAATCTGTAATTTGTCACATTTTCAAAGGACTTGTATCTATACATGAACACTTTCTTTTAGACATGTGCCTGACAATATACGGCGTGAATCTTAAATAAAAGACATAACCTTACAATCATTATAGTATGTGCATATTGTAGAGTTTCTTCATTCTTTTTGTATTCATAGTTTTATAGCATGAGTGAGATGGTGATACGGTAATCACTTTCCCGGGGATATGCATTCGTCTGGATGCGTTCTTTTGTCAGTTTGAATTTTATTTTGAAATGGAGAATCTTATTTCAATAATGTGTTTATATTATAAGAGATGAGAAGTTTGTTTAGCAACCATAACCATATATTTAGGGTGATAGTCTATTAGTTTGTAGGCACCATACAGCTCAAGTCTTCCGTCCAATTATCACTAATAATATACAATACTCCACTAAGGTGAGTGGGAACCCCGAATTAAAGAACCGTGTTAAAATTCAAGGTAACATCATTGATTAAGAGGAAGAAGTCCACAGGCATCGCATATAAGCTGCCTGGCACTAACTTATAAAATTTGTAACAATTGCATGTGCTTGACTTGCTTTTAATATCAATTTCAACACTCTTTAAAGCTTGTGGGCATCGCTGAAATGATCACTCGCATCTAACCTCCTCAGATTGCATAGCCTTATTCATTTAAAGAGTTCGAATTGTAATTTATGTCAAGACCTGAAATCAAAGTCAGGGCCACCTATTAGCATTTATAAGAAATAAAACCATTCTGATTATTTCCGGTTGCAAGGGATACTTTGCTTTGCAGATTCCTACATATTTTTAGATACCAAAGAAATGGGACTGCCATGTCAAAAAGACATATTGCTTGACCCCTCAGCAAAGTCAGGAGATCAGCCTGAGATTAGTTTCCAGCGAATGAAAATTGGAATTCATGTTATTCACATTTTCCTTTTCATAAACTGAATTTGTAATTGGGCCAAATGCATTTGAACGGTGGGAAAAAAATATATATATAAAGTTTGATTACACTAAGTGTTTTTAAATAATTTTCACCTGTTATCAGATGACAAAGCATCTGGTAAATATCTTATCACACAATTATAATTGGAGTGACAGATTTATTTGAAAATTTTCTATTTTCTAAGTGTTGATGATGATAAGATCTGTAGGACAGTATAAATTAGACATTTTGAAGATAGTTACAGATAATTTGCTGTACAATACTCTCATAAATTTTATAGATTTTTAATAGATATTATATTAATGATAAATGACATTTTGGATTTTTTTTCTTCTATTGTTTGAAGAATTTTGTGGTAGGTTTGTTTTGTTATTCTGTATAAACTTATTTTCTGAATGCTATATATTTTTGTTTGATGAAGCGAACTCCTTCAAAAATAAGCTTAGTTTGTCTATTAATAAACATCTATTTAGATTTCTGATTTTGGGGCCAGTTTTCAAGTTGGTCCAAATCGGGGTCCAAAATTATACTGTGTTTGATTTCAACACGAATTGAATATATATAGGGTTCTTTGAAATGCTGAATCTAAACCTGTATTTGTTTTCATTATTAATTAGATAATACCACATTGAATTCCAAAAGGGTCCTAAATTAAACTTTTGTTTGATTTCATCAAAAATTGAATTCTTGGGGTTCTTTGATATGCTGATTCTAACAATATACTTAGATTTTGGATATTGGACCATAATAGGAAACGTCTGATTTCAAATTTTTCAGTTCTTTGAACACATTCACTTTGTGTCACAAACCTAGATGCTGTGTCAAATATTCAATCACAATCCAAATTCAGAGCTGTTTTAAGCTCAAATGTTGTGTCCATACTTGCTCAACTGTTCAGGGTTCGACCTCTGCAGGAAAATCCGGTTTCCTGTCACTCTGACAGCCTCTTGTTATGAACTAATTCTTAAATGGTAGGTTATTATAGACCAAATACCTGAATGGTAGATTATTGTAAACAAGTTATTGCAGACTTAACAACTGAACTATATAATTGTTATAATTTTAATTTGCTTTTAAAAATTCGCTGTACAATACTCTTATAGAGTAAAGCTCACATTTGATTCAGTAAAGTCAGTGTTTTTTTTCAATGATGTCGTGAATAAAGAGCTTATGTAGGATTTAATAATGTCCCCCATGGACGGACATTATTTTATAGTAAATACTGTTCATGGACAATATTTACTTATTAAAATGTGTCCCGGACACAATTTCCCATGGAAATATGTCCTGAGGTATGAAAAAGTGTCCATGAACATGGACATTATTTAATAATATAATTCTGTCCAGGTGGACATTTTTTCACAGGACATTGTCCACCAGGTCATTTTTTCATATGATTAAAGTATTCAATGATATTAAATGATATCCATTGCCTTGTTATTACTGGACGTATTTTAACCTATAATTGCTAACTTTTAATACATTGTTACTTTGACAGAGAGTTATCTCATTGGCACTCATATCATCCTTATCTTCTTATTTATATTTTTTAATATATATACATGTATAATGATTTAAATTCAAATAAGTAACAGATGCAGTTCAGTATTATTTTCCTTTGAGGACACAATTTAGTAACAATTACTACGAAAAATTGTCCTGTGGGTGGCCCATATTTCATAACTTTTGCTGTAAAATTCTGTCTTTTTAGGGGACAATATTTCATTGAAATGGACATTATTTAATACCAAAACTCTATATTTTCTTCTGCCTTCTCCTCATAATATATATAGTCAAGTTCTTCACATTTTATTTTATACTTTACATACTTCCTTCTTATTGTTCTTTCATTGTCATTAGCATTACCTGGTCATCTCTTAGAACTTAAATTTCTCTATATTCATTTCCATCCATTATTTGTTTGTTTATAATAATCAATTTCTAATCAATCTTTCTGATTTTATTAAAATTCAAGAATAGTAAAATGACCTTTATATTACTTCCCTTGGAGGACACAATTTAATTACCAACTACTATGAAAACTTGTCCTGTGGGTGGTCACAATTTCATAACTTTTGCAGTAAAATTCTGTCCACTTGGGGGACAATATTTCATGGCAATGGACATAATTTAATACCAAAATTCTTTGAAAAACTGTCCAGGTGGACACTTTTTTACAGGACACTATTATGTCTCACACTTAAGACTATTGGAAATATTGGCTTATGGTTGCCATTATTAAAGTACTCTGAAGTGGTTCACGGACTCTATTACCTTGTTTATCATGCTCGCCCCCCCCCCCCCCCCCGAAAAAAAATCGGGAACCTATAGTCATCACTTTGTTCGTCTTTTTCTCTGTTTGTCTGAAACAGATGGTTTTCGGATACAACATTGAGTATTCCTTGCTCAATCGACATAAAACTACCAATTAAAGGTCACCGAACGGTCTTTAACAACTCAAACAATAACACCATTTATCTTAAAAAAGAAAAATGTATATCAAAAGTTCTCGCAATTGCTGAAAGCAAGTTCAAAACCAATTTAAACTAAATAAAAGTTCTTCAAAACTAATATTTTGAACTCTTAAAATGGAAATGAATGTTTTCTTTCAATAATTGTGCAGTCGGAACCATCAGTTGGTAGATACAGCTTTTCACTTATCTAATGTGATATCAATAACGCACATATACAAACGAAAATTGTTCATGTACATTAAACGTAATATGAAGAAATTCGAGGTGTAAGGGAATAAATGTGCAGTCGGGACCATCAGTTGGTAGTGACAGCTTTTCACTTATCTAATGTGATATCAATAACGCACAAATACAAACGAAAATTGTTCATGTACATTAAACGTAATATGAAGAAATTCGAGGTGTAAGGGTTTGTAGTGACAGCTTTTCACTTATCTAATGTGATATCAATAACGCACATATACAAACGAAAATTGTTCATGTACATTAAACGTAATATGAAGAAATTCGAGGTGTAAGGGAGTGAACGGTAAACTATTACATGTCCCTTTACCAAAATGGGGATGCAGTTATATTCAACTGTCACAACCAGAATGATAGATAAAATGGGAGGTCATTGTTTGTATTCTTGAGAAATGTTAACTTCATGACGAAAGGTAATTGACGTTCTAGCTCACCAGGCCCGAAGGGCCCCATTTGAGCTTATGCCACCACTTGGCATCCGTCGTCGTTTGTCGTCGTCGTCGTCGTCGTCGTAAACTATTTCAAGAATCTTCTCCTCTTAAACTACTGGGCCAAATACCTTCAAACTTTAAGTGAATGTTCTGTAGGGTATCTAGTTTATAAATTGTATCCGAAGTTTTGATCCATAGACAAACATGGCCGCCATGCCATGGCTAAAAATAGAACATAGGGGTCAAGTGCAATTTTTGGCCAATATCTCAAAAACTAAAAGAAACAAGCATTTTTACAGTTTCCAGACAATAACTTGTGTTCAAGTGTATGGATCTCTCTGAAATTTTACTGCAAGGTACCAAACCACAAAGGGAAGGCTGGTATTGAGTTTGGGGGTGATGAATCATAAGGGGGTTCAAAAAATTGGGGGGGGTTCCTTTTTTTTCTTTTTTTTTTTCTTTCAAATTTCCATTTTAAGATGGTTATTTTTGATTTATATATAAAAGCAAATAATAATGATATTGTTTGATTTCATCAAAAATTGAAATATTGGGGTTCTTTGATATGCTGAATCTAACCGTGTATTTAGATTCTTAATTTTTGGTCCCGTTTTCAAATTGGTCTACATTAAGGTCCAAAGGGTCCAAAATTAAACTTAGTTTGATTTTAACAAAAAATGAATTCTTGAGGTTCTTTGATACGCTGAATCTAACCGTATATGTATTTAGATTTTGGATATTGGACCATAATAGGTAAATTAAAAAATTGTAAGTTCTTAGACCTCATTCATTCTGTGTCAGAAACCTATGCTGTGTCAAATATTTAATCACAATCCAAATTCAGAGCTGTATCAAGCTTGAATGTTGTGTCCATACTTGCCCCGACTGTTCAGGGTTCGACCTCTGCGGTCGTATTAATCTGCGCCCAGCGGAGCATTTTATTGGTTATTATCTTGAATATTATTGAAGATAAATATAAACTGTAAACAGCAAAAATGTTCAGCAAAGTAAAATCTACAAAAATGTTCTTATTGTCAATTGACCCCTTAAAGAGTTATTGCCATTTAAAGACAATTTTACACAATTTGTTCATCATGTTTGCTAACATTTAAAATTCTTCTCCTTTGAAACTGCTGGGTCTAATACTTCTAAACTTTAACTGAATGTTCCTTAGGGTAACTGGTTTATAAATGTATCCGAAGTTTTTATCCATTAACAAACATGGCCGCCATGGCTAAAAATAGAACATAGGGGTCAAATGCAGTTTTTGGCTTTTATCTCAAAAACTATAGCAGTTAGAGTAAAAAATTATATCACAAAAATACTGAACTCCGAGGAAAATTCAAAACGGGAAACCCCTAATCAAACGGTAAAATCAAAAGCACAAACACATCAAAGGAATGGACAAAGTGACATGGAGTTAAAGTGATGAATAAGTCAAAATCTATCTGCTATCTGCTTTTCAGACCAATTGGACCACCTATTGTAGGGTTACTGTCCGAAATGGTTTATTTTTACTGTTTTTATACGACCGCCCAAACCGTTCAGGAATTAGGGGCCAAAAAGGGTCTAAAACAAGCGTTTTCATACAATAACTTGTGTTTAAGTGTATTGATGTCTCTTAAATTGTACCACATTTTACAAAAAGAAAAAGGGGAGGCAATTTTTTTTCCACAAGATTTAAGAAATTAAAATGAAAATTTCTTCAAATATTATTTTTTTTGGAAAAGGGGGGAGGGTTAAAAAAAATTTTGGGGGGGGCAAAATTTTTTGTTCTCAAGATATTAGAAATTGTCAATTTCCAAAGAAAAATTTTGGGTCACAATTTATTTTGCTAATTCTTTGTATATAATTCAGACCTGTATCAAGCGCGAATATTGTGTCCATTTTTGCCCCAACTGTTCAGGGTTAGTCCTCTGCGGTCGTATCCAGCTGCGCTAGGCGAAGCAGTTTATTGGTTATTATCTTTGATATTATAATAGATAGAGAGAAAGTGTGAATGTCAAATATGTTCAGCTAAGTAGGATCTACGAATAAGTCAAATGATCAAAATAGTCGATTGACTCCTTAACGAGTTATTGACCTTGAAACGTTTATTTTTTACATTTTTTCGTGCAAGTCTGTTACTTTTTATACGCCCGTTTACGGGACGTATTATGGTATACCGTTGTCCGTCTGTCCGTCCGTCCGTCCGTCCGTCTGTCCGTCCGTCGTCAACATGTCAGACATTAACTCAAAAACGCTTTAACCAATTTGCATAAAACTTTGGTGAATTTTTTATATCTATTGACGTGAGCTCCCTTTTGTTTTTTATAAATTTTAGATTTTACGTTTCCTAGTTATCGGGTTTTATTCATTAAAAAAAGGGGGATTTTCCAGTTTCCGGACAATAACTCAAGAATGCTTTCACCAACTTGCAAGAAATTGTGGTGAATTGTTTATATCTATTGACCTATTGACATGAGCTCATAGAAATATTCATAGAAAAAGGGGGATTTTCCAGTTTTCGTACAAAAAATCAAAAATACTTTCAGCAGTTCTTATGAAACTTTGGTGAATTGTTTATATCTATTAATGTAAGCTCCGTTTAACATTTTATAAATTTTACATTTTACATTTCTGAGTTATGGGGTTTTATTCATTAAAAAAGGGGGATTTTCCAGTTTTCGGACAATAACTCAAAAATGCTGTCAGCAATTCTCATGAAACTTTGGTGAATTGTTTATATCTATTGATGTAAGCTCCCTTTACACTTTCATAAATTTCTAATATGTCATTGAGAATTAATTGAACTTTATTTGTTTATAGTCTGACAACAGATTTACTAAGTATTGCGCAACAGCACAGTGTATTGCACAACAGCAAGAAATCTTTAATTGAATATAAATTCAATTCATATAACCAATTTCAAGTTCTTTGACTACATTTATTCAAAAACCTATATTATGTCAAATATTTAATACAATCCAAATTCAGACCTGTATCAAGCTTGAAGATTGTGTCCATTTTTGCCCCAACTGTTCAGGGTTGGACCTCTGCGGGCGTATCCAGCTGCGCTCAGCGAAGCAGTTTATTAAAAAATCTTCTACTCTGAAACTACTTGGCCAAATACTTCCAAACTTTAACAGGATGTTCCTGAGGGTATCTAGTTTGTAAAATGTATCCGAAGTTTTGATCCATCAACAAACATGGCCGCCATGGCTAAAATAGAACATAGGGGACAAAAGCAGTTTTTAACTGGTTTTTAGAAGGAAAAATCGGTTATTGATTTGGGGATGTACGGCTCAGGCGGGCGGGCGGCTGCCAAACAGTGTCCGTTCATTAACATGAAACCGCTTTGACGAAATTTTAGATATGTTGTTTCCTGTGACTAAAGGAAGGTCAAGATCAATTTTCACGATTGTAGCTTTTCTCGTTGTTGAGTTATAGCCCTTTCCCAAGAATTCAATTTTTGATGTATTATTCCATTTCTATAACAAAGGGAAATAAGTCATTTTTTAAAAGACTTTTAAAAAACATTGTATCAATGATAAATGATATTTTGGATTTTTTTTCTTTTCCTTGGTAAATTGTTTGAAGAATTTTGTGGTAGGTTTGTTTGTTATTCTGTATAAACTAATTTTCTGAATGCTATATATATAATTTTTTTTGATGAAGTGAACTCCTTTAATTAGATAATAATCTATTTTTATTAAAGGATATATTTCATTACATTACATTGTGAAGATAAAGTTGTTGACATTGATAGATAAGTTGCAGATCAGTATTAGTTTGTGACAAATGAAAGAAAAAAATATTTGAAACTATTAATTATATTTGATTATAATTTGAAAATAGATATACATTGTGTAACATCATATCTAATTTTAGAGGGTTAAATCATATCCAATTTTAGAGAACTATGTTTGCTTTATTAGTTAAACCATATTTCTGTTCAAAGGGAAATAACTCAAACTTATTCCATGAACCAGTAATGATAAATTAAGTATATGGATTCTGTTCAATTAATTTTAGTCATTAGTTGTCAAAATTTCTTAATAACTATTTTCTTTAAGTCATGTGTGTTATGAAGGTAGATGTCACAGTTGTTATGTGGTTTTTTATTTTTGTTGTGTGTGTTAATGTTTAGTTTTTACATGATCCTGTTTGGGGGTTCAGATTTGCAAATATCATTTTCATTATTAATTAAATAATAATCTATTTTAAATATTCAATCGCAATCCAAATTCAGAACTGTATTAAGCTTAAATGTTGTGTCCATACTTGCTCAACTGATCAGGGTTCGACCTCTGCAGGAAAATCCGGTTTGCTGTCACTCGACAGCCTCTTGTTTTCTTATATCTCAAAAACTACAGCAGTTAGAGCAAGAGTGATAGTAGTGGAGTGACAAATCAAGAAAAAGGTGCTTATTTTACGACTTTAATGGACCGGCATAACTGCAGGCTAAAAACGATTTTTTTGCAAAGCCAATACCTTAAGCTAACTTTTTTGCCCGGTCGTAGACATTTTCTGCGGTGCAGTTTTTTACAAAATGGAAAGAAAAATGACATTTGGATTTTTTTTTCAAATTTCAACATGGGAAAAAATTAGAATTTTGTTACTTTGTTTTTGTCTTTTCACATATGATTTTGCATTTTATACATAGTTTAAGTGTTTATTCATATTGTAAAACTAGAATTCCTTAAATTTTTTCTTAATTTTGTCCATTTTCACTCAGTTTAACAAAAGTACACTCTGTATTATTTTAACGAAGAGGTTACAACATTTGTAAATTTAGATTACATCGATAATTTCATGACTTTCCGAATTAAAATGTTATTAAACTTCCTATTGTAAAGTTTTGACGCCATTCCTAATAAGTATTTCTAATAAATTAACTTTTATGAGGAATTTTAACATTGCATTATAGTTCAATGACTTTGATTTGGACCTCCTCGTTATTCTGATGCTCATGGAAAGATTGTAGTAATGCTTCTGAACTTCCTGCCGACAAACTGTGAAAGGTCCTGTCAATAGCAGAATGCATATTTGCTTTAAACAAAAATATGTTTACCCCATTTCATCTTGGTTTGGCACTACAATTACACCATGAGTTTGGCTCTAAATATTTGATTGAAAATCCAAACTCTCATGGTTTTTGTGCATCCTACTCTGAAATATGTAGATATCGGACTAGTTTAGCAAATTTGGAAATAGACAGAATCCAAGACATGTCCTATATACCTAATGGCATTGCTCTATTTAAAGAAGGTGGTCGTATTATACAGGAGGGAGCAGAAAATATTGACTTAAATGCTGAGACAATCGATGGTAAAAATACCTTTCAACCATGGCTAGAGCTGTATTTCAGTATCAAAACGAATCATCAAACGCCCACATAAGTTCCATCAAGGTTAAACAGGGACTAGAAAGATCTTTGACGTTGAATGATTCGAATACAAATCTTATGGCATGTTTACCTTCGACAAGCCAACAGAACGATATGGACCTCCTCGTTCTTCTGATGTTTATGGGAAAATTGTGTCTTGTTTCATGGAAAACCTAGATATATCTGTCATGTCTTTGGTATTTCTGCGACTTCTTTCGAGACAGAACTTAGATTCGATTCCCTTTTCTGCAGAAAGTACTGAACAAATTGTTCCATTTTGGACTGGTTCTTTCAAAAGGCTATCAGAGGTTAAATCTGAAATTTCGTTTGTAGCCTATGCTCCGGTTATAGATGACAAGCCTAGCGACATGGCAATAGTATTTACAACTATGAAACAATGTTTAGATATGTCAAAACATGCCGGTCAACAATATGCTGTGCAAACATTCGACAATTAGTTGTATGATGTTGCACAACAAGAAAAATGGTCTATGCCAGACATTTTCAATCACACATTATAAGACTTGGAGGAAGTTTTCTGTTTTGCAGTAGCAGTTTGCAAGTTATGGGCACCAGCTGGGCTTTATGACCTTCTTGTTGACTCTGGAACTTATGCTCCTAATACGGTAGATCAGATGATTGTTGGAAAACAGTGTAATCGTGGTGTGCGAGGATTAACTTTGGCATATCAGGCTCTCGTGGCTCTTTTGTTTAATTTAAAAGCATTCTTCAATTGGTGTAAAGACGAAAACCGTTTAAATAGTATTGAACCAAATGTATGGAAGGCGTTCTTTGACTGTCACAGTTTATTAGCTGAAACACCCAAAAGCACTGAAGGTATTGAACATTTGTTTTCTGTTTTTAAAGAACATATGTTGCCATTGTTTGAAGAATTCAGAACACACTCTTGTAAACTATCACCAACCTTCGCATTTTGCGATATTGTTACAGAACATTAGGGCTGAACGGAATGGGTTGTGGCTTTTACATTTGCAAATGGTAGCTGCAATGTTGCCATGCTTTTTCATTACCAATCGGACGAACTATGCTAGGTGGACACCAGCCTACATAATGGATATATTGAATCTGCCTGAAACGGTAAAATCTGTCTTTTTGTCAGGTGAGTTTTCAATCAGACAAAAACCTGGAGCCTTAAATGGTATCTGGAGTGATATGGCTACAGAGAAAACTATTATTCAAGATTCCAAAGGTTGTAGCGGCATCATAGGACTGACAAGGAAAAAAACCGCTTCACTTCGATGGATGCTTATAAGACATATCCTTGCGCATTTTAGTTCTGAAATGAGATCAAGATCGGGATTAGCCACAGATGCAGAAACTGAACACGAAGATAAAAAGCAATGACACGAGACAAGATGAATATCTCTGATTTGATAGGATATGTGCATTCAAATACCCGGTATGAACGATCAATTTAACGTTGCCGATCATCCTTAGTCATTGATGAATATTTCTACAGAGATGCAAGCCTCAATAGATGTTCAGGGATCTCTTCTTAAATCTCTTGAACGTGGCAACCAGCTGGTTAAATCATTTGTGGAAGGCTGCTTTAATGAGTCTGAAACCCGTGTCTTCTACAGTCCTATTTCGAGGTCTCCTCTTAATACCTTCGATGATATGACCAAGACCTCAAAACTAAAGTGTAAATCAGGTGACTTTGTTAAGGCACATATAAACCCAGTAAAATTATTTCGTCGTGCTTTAGTTCTTGCTTATGTTCACAAGGATGTGACTGTAGTCAGGATCTTGGCATATTTATTGGTCCCATACCTTCAGCTCTGTGCCATGATGATGGTACCATGCGGAAGTGTTGTAAATCTGATATAATTCACCTCCTTGAAGAGGAAATTTGTTCTTCTTTCAATCTTCCAAGTTATGACAATAGCTATCAAAGGTACCAGGCTTATAATTTGAGGCGCGTTTCGTCTACATAAGACTCATCAGTGACGCTCAGATCAAAAAAGTTAGAAAGCCAAACAAGTATAAACTTGAAAAGCATTGAGGACCAAAATTTCAAAAAGTTGTGCCGAATACGGCTGAGGTAATCTATGCCTGGGATAAGAAAATCCTTAGTATTTCGAATAATTAATACTTTTGCAAACAGTAAATTTATAAAAATGACCATATAATTGATATTAATGTCAACACCGAAGTGCTGACTACTGGGCTGGTGATAACCTCTTCCGATAAGTTTAAAACGGGAGATCAGGAATTCGCCGTTAACATTGGAAGTGCATTTGTCGCCTCATTGTATGATCCCAAGGGAAAGTTCAGGAATCTTCATGATGATCTAAACAAGCTAAGGGTGAAATTTGCCACCACAAAGGATGCCAGTCTTGTGAAAATTTCCCCATGTGAAAACTCGTTTTTACAGCACATCCCACGTACAATGCTTCAAACGCAAGTTTGGATGAACTCTCATATTGCTAAACCAGTGATCATACTTTCCAAAGACTCTGGTTGGCAAGAGAGTAAACACGGTTTGCTCTCGATTTCTTTGAGGGACCTATGTCAGCAGATTTCCTTCAAGACCTTGTTTGTACGTATACGTATACGTGCAAGGGAAATACAGCTTGCAATAAAAACTGTATATGCAACCAACAGAATTTGGCGTGTACCAACATTTGTTCATGTGAAGGGTCTGATGGTTGTAGAAATTATTTAACTCAGCGAGCAATATTTGAAGAAGACGACGATGAAAACGATGACTGATGTCAGGTTTTCGAAATTTGTCATGCCCTTGATTTGTTAAAATACCCATACAACCACTCTTTCTGAGGGGCCCATGTGTGCTTTTGTAAGGCAACATCTCATAAAACCTAAAAAGTTTATAGAGCTAGAATATACGCTGAACCTTTAGTCCTTCATTAAACTCTTTTGATTTAATTGCCTTGTGAAATATTTGTGACTGGCAATAAAAATACGACAAAGCAAAAACCAAATTGACTTCGATTCTTTTTTAAAAAGCCGTAAAATTCAGAAATATATCTTTTAAAGTACATGCAATGTAAAAAAATGAATTGAGAGTCGGTTGTTGTTCCATCTTCTATTTTTTTATTGTTGCTAGTCTGAATTCCCCTTAAAATGGGCATTTGGTGGTTTCATTATTTTCAAATTCAGTTGAAAATGAAGTGTCACAGTTTATTTTATTATAAATGTCTTGTTTAGTAACAATTCAGATATTATTTGGAGACTTTTTATAACCCCTTGTGAAATAAATTGACAATAGTCAAAAACTCAATCACTAACCTTTGACCATATTTTAAAAAAATTGCACCATATTTAAATTCTACGACCAGGCAAAAATTAAAGAATAAACATTTCTCTTTCCAAAATGTCGTGATTTAGCCTGCAGGTAGGGTGGTCCATTAAAGTTGAAAAATTGTTGGCTTGGTCACTCCACTATAGGGTGTTAAAGTGATGTATGGGTCATGATCTATCTGTTATGAAATTTTCAGACAAGTTCAACAACCCATTGTTGGGTTACTGTTGGAAATAGTTTATTTTCATTAAATTTTACAGTTTTTGGTTATTATCTTTAATATTATAATAGATAGAGAGAAAGTATAAATGACAATACAAGTTCAGCTAAGTGAGATCTACAAATAAGTCAACATGATCAAAATAGTCAATTCACCCATTAAGGAGTTATTGCCCTTAAAACGTTTTTTTTTACGGTCTAATTACTTTTATAAAAATCTTCTTTTCTGAAACTACTTGGTCAAATACTTAAAAACTTTAATTGAATGTTCCTTAGGGTATCTAGTTTATAGATTGTATTAGGGGATTTGATCCATTTAAAAACATGACTGCAGTTTCTCAAAATAGAACATAGTGGTCAAATGAAGTTTTGGCTTTCATCTCAAAAACTAAAGCAATAAGCAAAACTGACATAGGTGAAAGTGTTAAACAGGTTTAGATCTACCTGTCAAGTAATCTTCAGACCAATAGGACAACTTATTGTTGGGTTACTGTCCAGAAATTTTTCGGACATTTTACAGTTTTGGGTTATGTATTATCATTAATATTATTATAGAAAGAGAGAAAGTGTAAATGACAAAATTGTTCAGCAAAGTAAGATCTACAAATAAGTCAAATGCCTGAAACTGAAATTACAGGTGAGCGTGAGCGATATCAGGTTCTCATGAGCCTCTTGTTTTCAGATTGTATTTTGATCTCTAGATATCTTTGGATTTTGGATTGTCGTTAATTTCTGATTGATGTTTACCTGCATCACATTAAAAGTATGAAGTTGTTGTCTCTTATAGTAGGGCTAATAGATAAGAGTCATTTACTAGCAAGCTCGTGTCTTATCACTGGTTATAACTCATTTAAGTATTTCACTAATTGTAATACGACGGGTCTCACTTCCGGAGCACCCAAGTGCATCCCTGTTTTTAAAGGGTTCGTGCTGTTTGGTCTCTAGTTTTCTTTGTATTGCTTTGTGGATTGTTTTTATGTTTTCAACGTTTTTATACATCCGCAAAAAATTTTGCGGTCGTATATTGGTATCACGTCGTCGTCGTTGTCGTCGTCAGCGTCGTCCGAAGACATTTGGTTTCCGGACAATAACTTAAGTAAATGTAAATAGATATATGAAATTTTAACACAAGGTTTATAACCACAAAAGGAAGGTTGGGATTGATTTTTGGGGTTATTGTCCGAACAGTTTAGGAATTAGGGACCAAAAAGGGGCCCAAATAAGCATTTTTCTAGTTTCCAGACAATAACTTGTGGAACGGTGTATGGATCTCTCGGAAATAATACCATAAGTTTCCATACCACAAAGGGATGGTTAGGATTGGCTTTGGGGGGGGGGGGGGGGGGGGTTATGACTCAATGTATAAAGAAATGTTGTATTGTCTTTAGGTGATTAGCTGTCAATTTATTTTTTGAAGTTACAATTAAAAATGCTGATAAAGGAATATTAATTTTAGCCATGATTATGTATGTCATTTTCGATTTTAAGACTTTTATGATGTATATAAATGGGAAATTATGGTTGCAAACTCCATTGGAAACTTGAATTGAGATTATGACCATATCATGAGGGAAAGATTTTTTTTTGAAAAAGGGGGGGGGGGACAAATTTTCTCATTTTAGATTTCAGAAATTAAAAAGAAAATTTCTTCAAATATTTTCATTTTTTTTTTTTGCAAAAAAGGGGGGGGGGGAGTAAAAAAAATTGGGTCAATTCGCAACAGCATAGTGTATTGCACAAAAGCAAAAAAATGAATATAAATTCAAATCATATAACCAATTCAAAGTTCTTTGACTACAGTTATTCTGTGTCAGAAACCTATTATGTGTCAAATATTTAATTACAATCCAAATTCAGACCTGTATCAAGCGCGAATATCGTGTCCATTTTGCCCCAACTGTTCAGGGTTGGACCTCTGCGGTCGTATCCAGCTGCGCTTGGCGAAGCAATTTATTTCGTTTGGCCTTGTATTATATTTGCCTTCGGGTTTATATAATCCGTTCATCCTATTTCGACTCTTCAAAATTCAAGAGTCTATCCCAAATTGAGGTAAATTATATGGCCTTCCAAATACCGTTTTGATTCCTAACATCACTGAAGAGACATTACTTGTCAAAATCCGGATATGGTGTTCCAATGTTTGCACCTCATGTCTGCGGTATACCATCTTTCCGCAAAGTTATTGTTTTCTGTTTGGTATTAAATTAATAATTAAGATCCATTTTGTTAGACCTGCTAGTCAAATGCGCTTTTATGCCCCATTTATGGGCATTATGTTTTTCGGTCTATGCGTCCGTTCGTTCGTTCGTTTGTTTGTTCGTCCGTTCGTCCGTTTGTCCGGCTTCAGGTTTAAGTTTTTGGTCAAGGTAGTTTTGGATTAAGTTGAAGTCCAATCAACTTGAAACTTAGTACACATGTTCCATATGATATGATCTTTCTAATTTAAATTCCAAATTAGAGTTTTGATCCCTATTTCACGGTCCGTTGAACATAGAAAATGATAGTGAGAGTGGGGCATCCGTGTACTATGGACACATTCTTGTTTATTATTATATGAATTTGAGTTATTTCCCTTTGAACAGAAATTGATAATTGATTTCTATGTCATTTGGTCTTTTGTTTAGTTTGAGTTATTTCCCTTTGAACAGAAACTATTTAATGAATAAGTATTTCATCAAAAATTGAATTCTTGGGGTTCTTTGATATGCCGATTCTAGCAATGTACTTAGATTTTGGATATTGGACCACAATAGGTAAATGGCCAATTTCAAATTTTTCAGTTCATTGACCACATTCATTTTGTGTCAAAAACCTATGCTGTGAAATATTCAATCACAATCCAAATTCAGAGCTGTTTTAAGCTTATATATTGTGTCTATACTTGCTCAACTGTTCAGGATTCGACTTCTGCAGGAAAATCCGGTTTGCTGTCACTCTGACATCCTCTTGTTTGATTTATATTGCAGCCCTTACAAACAACGAAATATTAGCAAATAGCCTTATATTCTTTTTGGCTGGATATGAGACGACTGCAAATGTGTTATCCTTCGTGATGTATTGCTTAGCTTTATATCCAGATTATGCTGACAAGGTTCGACTTGAAGTTGCTGATAACATTAGAAAGGTAGAGTAACTAGTACACAATTTTGTTTAGGGGCCAGCTGAAGCACGCCTCCGGGTGCGGGATTTTCTCGCTGTGTTGAAGACCCATTGTGGCCTTCGGCTGTATTCTGCTCTTTGGTCGGGTTGTTGTCTCTTTGACACACTCCCCATTTCCATTCTCAATGTTATTTGTAATACATTATACAAGTACAGAATATGTTTTTATATGATAAAGTATGGTTGCCAATGAGACAACTATCCACCAGAGACCAAATGATGAGGCTGTTAATAGCTATAGATCAATGTACGGCCATTATGATGAGTAAAACCCATACCGTATTATAACCATAGATCATCGTACGGCCATCACAATGAGAAAAAAACCATACCGTAAAGTATAGTAAGCTGTTAGAGGCCCCAGCATAACTAAACATATGAAACAATTCAAAAGAGAACACCAACGACCTGATTGATGCTAAAAGCAATAAGCGAAAAACAAATATGGGAAACACAAACGAACGACAACCATCAACTACAAGTGCCTGACTTGGGACAGACACATAAAGAATGTGACGCGGTTAGACATGTTTGTGAGTGCACACCTTCCCCTAACCTTGAAAAGTTGTATTACAGTACAACATAATAATGAACTGGGGAAAAAAAAACAGTTGAAAGGGCTTGACTCGTCAGATCCCCACGAACATATCAACCAATTTAAGAGTACAATCATAGTTACTAAAAGCTTTTTCAAATAGAATTGAGAATTCAAAGCCAATTTCAATTGATAAATAAACTATTTTCCCAAGATCTTTTCCATCGGCAAGCGCAAAATTCTATTGTGAACTATTAGGCAGTTAGTTTTCTCAATTGAATTTTTCGTATTTTTAATGTCAGGGCCTTTTATAGCCAACTATACATTATGGGTCTTTCTTATTGCTGAAGGCCATACGATTGCTTATGAATGCTTACATCCACTTCATATGAACTTTGAGAGATAGTTGTCTCATTGGCAATCATACCATATCTCCTTATTTTTATATATTATATATAAGTAAATGGGCACAGACCATTTTGCCAATTATAATATCCAAAATATATGTTTTACAGAGCAAGGTGGATGAAAGCGATAATATGTTCTTAACGCTATTTTGACTTGAACCTTTTAACAATTAAATGTAATGAAACAGATCGATCTGTACAATAACATATTTATGGTTTGAATTACAGGAAAAACCAACATATGACAACGTCTCAAAGCTTCAATATTTAGATATGTTTGTGTGTGAGGTCCTTCGACTTTATGGTACGGCTGCAAGGTAAATATAACATTCATAGCACAGAGAGTTATTGCAAATTCACACTGACACCTAGTTTGTTTAAACAAGGAAAGGTAGAACAACATTCTTGTCAACTAAAAGTTTTCTGTGAATTAAAGGTGATGTTGGTAAACTTCAATGAGACAGCAACCCAACGTCCAGATCAAATATTATCATCAATTTTGTTTAAGCCAGGGTAGGAATTCATACTTGCCATGTGTTTATACATTCATAAACGCTCCCGTGGCAGTTTTGGAATTATAAATGTATAAAGAATGAAAGTAACAATTAGAATTCGTATATATAGAATGAAGAATATAATTTAAAAGGTCGCATAATATTAATATAGAAATTCAAAGCTGTATTTTATTTATTCGAATTGATCACATTTTGCATGAAGCCTGAAGTGATTCTTGCTAAAAAATGTGATTCTTGACGTGCTTTCATTTTGAAAACATTTTCTAAAATTAGCATGAATATTTTATAATTACAGATAATAGAAATGAAAAATACATGTATGCTAAAAACATTTTTAATCTAAAAGTAAAACTATTCAGTGATATGAAGGCTGCGTATTACCTTATGTTAAATCTATTGTAAATATAGGTGGAATGTTTACATAGATGTCGACTTCAAAGTAGATTGCTCATAAAGTGTGTATTACATTTCAAAAGTTATAACATATTGTTAATTTATGGTTTCATATCTACAACGTGTAATGTTAACTATAGACTGTTTTAAAAAAAATAGAATTTACGTTCTTTTAAATGTTACATTAAACGTTTGCTGCAAGTATCAAGAACAATATGTAGATAAAGAGTTGATAAATTAAGTGGAGAGAGCTAAACATTCATCCATTTTTTGGTTGCTTTTACATAAATCAAAAACCTATGGCAGAATCCGATGATGTAGCCAATCAAATTCTTTGTCAGTATGACTGTAAATATTGCTTTGTAAAAAAAAATTATAATAAAATATGTTGGAATAGCCTATAGTCTTTAAATGAACTATAGATATACATTTTTATGCCCCGCCGTAGGGGAGAGGGCATTTAGTTTTACCCTTCTCCGTCCATCCGTCCGTCCATCCGTCCGTACGTCCATACGTCCCGAAATTGGTTTCTGTTCTCTAACTTTAGTTTGCCTCAACCAAATGTTATGAAACTTATACACAATGCTTATTGCTACAAAACACAGATCAAGTTTGAATTTGGATGGCGTCACTTTTACCTTTCTAGAGTTATGCACCTTTACAAATTTAAAAATTGCTGAATTTTTATTTCCGTTCTCTAACTTAAGTTAGCCTCAACAAAACGTTATGAATCTTATACACAATGCTTATTACCACAAAAGTCAGATTAAGTTTGAATTTTGGTGGCGTCACATTTACCGTTCTAGAGTTATGCCCCTTTACAAATGGAAAATTGCTGAAATATTCGTTTCCGTTCTTTTACTTAAGTTTGCCTCAACCAAATGTTATGAAACTTATACACAATGCTTATTACCACAAAACTCAGATCAAGTACGAATTTGGGGAGCGTCACCTTTACCGTTCTTGAGTTATGTCCGTTATAACGTTGTATGCAAGCGGGGGCATCATCTGTCCCATAGACACATTCCTCATTTATATTCTCATATTTTTACTTTAAGGTTTAATCGAACAGCAGAAGAAGATGTAGAAATTGGTGGATATAAAATACCGAAGGGAACTGATATACAATTTGCAATAGGTGTCATTCATAGAGATCCCGATTTATGGCCTGAACCAGAGGTTTTTGATCCAGAGAGGTAAATATATGCACGCCTTTATTGAATATTTAAAGGTACTTATAACAAATTTGAAAAATAAGAAAAGGCCTTGTCTTCCGTAAGTCATTCTAGATTTTCATTAAATTATATTGTAGAGTTGAAAGGTAATGGCAAAATTTCTTATGTAACAATCTTTAATTGTCCGTTTATAAATTAAGAAATAATTAAGAAACTAAGTTTCCTACTCCCCCATGCAAAGTTAAACTTAGATGGATAGATAATTATTTAAGGCCTCTTTTTGGTAATATAGCTCATCTCTTGTTTCGGTTATAACACATCCTTGGCTTCCAAATATTTGATGAAATCACATACAGGAAAGCGCTTCTGGTGCATAAAAATTTAGTGTTATTTTCATTTTATTTTGCATACCAATATGTGATCATTTGATTTAATTATACATACTGCTTGAATAATTACAGCATTATGTTATACATTCTCAAATATCTTTAGAAAAAATGGTTGTATTTATGGATTCTAAATATAAATGTTATCAAAATCACATTAATACTTAATAGGTTCACACCTGAAAACAAGGAGAAACGTCATCCATATGCATGGTTACCATTTGGTGTTGGTCCTCGTAATTGTGTTGGTATGAGACTAGCACTTACAGAAATTAAAATGGCTGCTGTTGCAATGGTACAAAATTTTACCGTTGTAAGATGTGATGAAACTGAGGTACATATGTTTGTTGTTCTTAGTTATATATGCATAATTACATAACGTAGTCACTTATTGCATACTTCGTGTGGCTTCAAGATATAACTTTTTGTTAATTCTGTATTTAATCCATTTTGCTAGAAAACAAACCAAAGGACTGTTTTCTCTTTTTTATATTTTTATTCTGTAATATTTAAAGATATGAGAAAATCTATACGTTGGAAGAACTTTGATTCAGAAGTATTGTTTTCAGTTCTTATTGAACTTCAAATAAAATGCTATGTATAAATAAACTTAGAAAATCAATATATGTCAAAGACACAGCAACCCATAAGAGTACAAAAGTGGTAGAAAATGTCCTTCTACAACATGTCAAGCTCAACTCAATATCGCCTATCATATTAGACAACTACGTTTTATGTCATTTGTTTATAGGTTCCAATCACACTTGATAAAGGTGGATTTATCAAAGCACAGAATGGTATTAAACTGAAATTGGAGAAGAGATAGATTAGTATTTGTAAATGTTACAATGTGTTGGAGATGAGTTATATTGGTATTTGAAAATGGTTGCAGTGTGTTGTATCAACAAATAAATCTAATGTCTCAATTATACTGAAAACTTTTACATATTTTTATCGCTTGTGACAAATGAAGTCTTTTATATCAATAAATCAAACTTACAATGTAATATTTATGTATTAAGAAGGTAATATGCCGAAAATAACGACGGAATACAAAAACAGAACTCCTTTAAACGTTTTTAAAACAGTTAAAAATGCAACAAAGATTAAGGCAAATAGTTTATGTTCTGTTTCAAATTACAACTGATAGGTTGACATAATCACGCAACTTGAAACGATTCAATTCGATTTCGGGCTCTTTAATGTTCTTTTTATTAGCTTTAGAAAGAATTCAAATCTAAAATTGTTTTGTATAATTTATGGATTTTAGTCTTCAAAATATCTCGTGCTTTATGAATAATAGGTAAAAATAGTTATTCACAATATAAGATGATACGAAGATTACGCCGTATACGTAGGGACGAGATAAACCAAAGTTATAATAGTGAATAACTACAAGAGAATTCAAAACACATCATAGGTTAGCATGATATATTCGTAAAAAACAACGCATCGTTGTCCCCATTAAAAACTGAAAAATTATTGGAATTTAAGATAGATGATGGGGGGGGGGGGGTCTAAATTAAAATCAATAGGTTTTTGTATGATTTGCGATAATGTAGTTTTGCTTTTTTCAAAAATATATTCAAAAGTATCGCGGAGATTTTTTTCCAGCTACAGGTTGTGCAAAACTGTCAGATTTTGTTTAGATTATACATGGAAAACCAAATTTTATGAATGATAGAATTTTAGAATAACATGTGAGAAGATAGCTCTTAATTATCATCTGCTTTTATAAAATAAAAAAAATAGAAAAACTAACGAAACTAATTGCTTTTACCGTGCAATCTCCTTTGAAGATTTAAACAAATTTCAATAGAATCCTTAAAACTCTGTCAGCTTCGTAAGATATATTTTGGTTTGATAAACAGTAAACTCTAAAATATCATATATGACATTGGAGAGCAAAAAAACGAATATTCCAAAAACTGGGCCAAATCTAGCTAAGACCATCAATGACGGGGGTTTAAAAACCCTTAGTGTTTCGAAGAATCGGACCTCTTATTAGTTTAAACACGTTCATACAGGCCAGATAATATGGTCCCTTTTATCTGTATGCCTACATATCTAAGCTAGAAAACATTGGATTCAACTGGAATGTAATTATCAAATAAGAATGAGACCTATAAACCACTGAAGTGCCAAATAAATGAAAAAACTATGTAAACTCCCGAAGCGCTTTTCTGGATTTACCTTTACCATAAACCCTTAACCAAAATATTTAAAAGTCGAGGATGTATAAATAACTGATTATGCGCGGGTCTATATGACCGAAAAGAACTGAAAAACAATAGCCGAATTCCTCTAAAATTAATTTTGCCTAGAGAAGTTGGAACCTTCATCATGTTTTACCGTGTGATGCATTTTCACATTCATCGCTCATCACCTCCTTTAACAAAAATATATATATATTCTTACAAAGAATGACCATATAATAAATTTGGATTAATCTTTGTTTGTGTTGGTTATATACTGTGTGATCGGTTTTCACATCCATCCTCGTCAACTTGTTTACTGGAATACTTATATCTCGGTATCATTCCTGAACAATAGCTTACATTTCGTCTTGTTAACTGGAATACTTATATCTGGGTATCATTACTGAGCAATAGCTTACAGTTCATCTTGTTTACTGTAATACTTATATCTGCGTATCATTACTGAGCAATAGCTTACAGTTCATCTTGTTTAATGGAATACTTATATCTGGGTATCATTACTGAGCAATAACTTACAGTTCATCTTGTTTACTGATTACTTATATCTGGGTATCATTACTGAGCAATAACTTACAGTTCATCTTGTTTACTGATTACTTTTATCTGGGTATCATTACTGAACAATAGCTTACAGTTCATCTTGTTAACTGGAATACCTATACAAAATGTATATGGGTATCATTACTGATCAATAATTTAAAGTTCATCTTGTTTACTGGAATACTTATATCTGGGTATCATTACTGAATAATAGCTTACAGTTCGACTTGTTTTCAAATAGTTAAGACAAAACTTTCAGCTTCACATTCTTCCGATAATACCAATGATTTTAGTCAATCTTATATATAATAGATATTGTTTAATTTTAAAATGTGCAGAAACTTTTTTTATACCAAAAACTGCCTTAAATATGCTAGTGATATTCATATGTTGAGTTTGACAAGATTTTCTATATATTACATCGGTTAAAGTCTAGAAGTCAGCACTTCTCGTTGAAATCAATTATCATCGATAAAGTAATATTAATAAACTGTTTACAAAACTTTAAGTAGGAATATATTACCTTAGATGTATTTGGCAAAATCTTTTGGAATCAATACTGTTTAACTGCGTAATTTATTTGTCCTTTAAATTTATTTTATTCGAACGTTGCTGATTAGTCTTTTGTAGACGAAATGCGCGTCTGGTTGGCTAAATTACAGGGCTGGTATCTTTGATAAGTTTTTTTTCTAATGTATTTTCTATCGTCAATAATTCCATAGTGCACATTGTTCAATTTATTACCATTCATGTTATACATGTATTATTAATTCACTTTAGCGGTTTGTGTGATAGTTTTTTATTTGCATTGGATACCTCATCGTGCTCGCATCGAATATTATGTGTTCATGTAGGGTAGCATGTCTTCCAATGGACTGAAACTTGTTAATATTCCACTTATTACATTTGTATAATTCCATCCATAAATATACATGAATAACCATTTAGTTTTATATAAGTTTTGTAAAAAGAAGTATGCAACACGATAGGGGTATAACTCTGTTTATTACAAACGTTTGCACAATTACTGTACACTAACAAGAAAGGTTTATTGTCCATTTGAATTATTGCATTTCTCTCAGCTTGTTTAACACACATTCAGCTGTTGGACGGTCCGTAGGATTCCCACTCCAACATTTCTTCATCAAAAACTGTAAATTATGATGAGGTTGGAATTTATTATCAAAATCGGGTCTTGTTCCATTGATAATAAACACACTTAACTCCGTCATATTCTGAGCTATAAATCTATACTCCTCGGTGTTTTCGCTGGATGGAAAAGTATAACCAGGGCGTCCATACCACATTTCCCACAACATAATACCAACACTATAAATATCCACCGAAGTTCCATAAAGTTTCCCTTGGAAGATTTCGGGTGCCATCGTGGTAGGTGTACCTGTGAATGTTCCCTGGATGCTAATTTCTTCTGTTGCCATTCCAACATCAGCTATCTTGGCTTTACCGTTTTTTATCTGAAAATATTTTAAGTGTCTTTTTACATTATTATTGCAATGAATAAGTAAGTAAAAATCTATGAGTTCTATACATGTACTATATCCCCGCATTTAATAAGGGACAATATTTTGTTAATGCGATTTAATAAATTACATTTGGAGGACGTGTTTTGTCTATAAATAATCGACATTCCTACGGGAACAAACTATACTTCTCTTCTTGCCGACTTGTTTCCTTATTCACATTTGGCAGACTTCATACAAGAACATAGCGTTATCCTTTAACTGCAAACTCCGATATATAGATGATGTCCTCTCACTAGATTACTAAGGCTTAGTTAATTTGTCAAACGCATCTATCCCATTGAACATGAAATAAAAGATACCACAGGTACCGTTAAGTCTATGTCATATCTTGAAATTGACAAGGGTCGGTTTAGAACAAAACTTTCCAACAAAAGAGATGATTACAGCTTCGCATTGTGAACTTCCGTTTCTATGTAACAACATTCGAGCAGCACATGCAAAAGAGGAATGATACGATATTCCAGAGATTGCTTTTCATATTAGAATTTTCTTGTAAGATGGTTGCTTATGAAAAAAAAAGAAAACAACACTTGATATATTTCATACGTCCGAAGCGGTTTTATGGATTTACCTTCATCAGGAACGTTCAACGCCGAATATTTAAAAGCCAAAGATGTATATTAACGGTAACAAGGAAGCTATTAAACCAAGGGTCCCAAGTGGTAAAGTTGAAGTCATTCCTTCAAAAATAGGACGCCATTACGCGTTGCTTGACCGTTATAGAATATCTGTTCCACAGGTGATGATAGATATGCTTCTATTGTCATAACCATAATCCCATTGTCTTTACCGCGAATGTGACATCACCGACTTATCACCACATTTGTACTATCATGAGCAACAAGACGTTTGTCACATTTTGGAGCAGGGTCTGCTAAACCTTCAAGAGCACCTGTGATCGTTCCCGGCTTGGTTTGTTGTTTGTCTTTTCGTCATTTTTAGAGTTTTTCCATGGCATTGTCAGTTTGACTATTCCTTTCAAATCTTCCACCTCTATTTGTTGGAGGTGTGCTTATATATATATACATGTGTATACATAATTGAGAATGGAAATGGGAAATGTGTCAAAGAGACCAACAACCCGACCAAAGAGCAGAAAATAGCCAAAGGCCACCAAAGGTTCTTCAACGCAGCGAGAAAATCCCGCACCCAGAATATGAATTGATATACCGAACTTTCTCAATTGTTTTCTCTTGATTTTTCGTTGAACGTTTTTAATTGTTCATCTGCAATTGTTTTGAAAAGATATTCAGTTCCGACCGTAGTTTCTGTATTTGTAAAATATGTAATAAAAAATCATAAAATAAAATTTTTAATATCAAAACCATTACACATTTCTATGATATCACCCCATGAAGTGTATTCCCTCGAACTGATTATAAATCTGATATGAAAAGTGAAATGTCATTATCTATAGTTGTAGTGCAGTGAAGCGACTTAATAATAGATTACTAGTACTATAGTTATGGTGCAGTGAAGCGACTTAATAATAGATTACTAGTACTTGAAATACAAAAAAAATATATATATAATTTTAGAAAATGGTTATCAAAGTGTTAAAATATTATTACTTATCTATTTGCTCAGTTGTTTAATGCTATCACTGAGGTATATTTGAGTCAAACTTATTTTTTACTGAGCAGTTCTTATTGCAGATTTTCCGTTTTTTGACAAAAACCATTCGAGACAAATATATATCAATATCACTACCAGTAACACACTTAGACATCCTGTAACCTTGGCCACTAATAGTGTCCATAGTGTAAAAAAGAAAGAGAATCTAAAGAAAAATGATTACCAGTATATTTGCCAGCTTAAGATCTCTGTGAACCATTTCCCTACTATGAATATGTTCTAAACCTTGACAAACATCACACATGATCATTACATAGAATTCCCATGATGCTGTACATTCAGATATATTTCTAAATCTAAAGCAAGGTGGTGGTTCTCTTTTCTTCATAACGACATCTTCTAAAGTGTCTTCACAATACTCCATGAAAATTTGAAGAAATCGTTTGTTCTGTGTGCTATGTTTAATACCTACACCATACAATCTTACTATATTTGGATGAGTAAGCTTTCTATGAAAAATCAAACAGTATTAAGTGCAAGTCACATGTTTATTTTGGTTAAAATATAAATGCATATAGTTTAAGTTTTATGACAAGGATAGTGATTGATACTTTTGGTACTTTTCAGTTATCATAATTGAACTTTCAATGTTATTTCAATTGCTTAACAAATAAAACCCTTTGAGATTTTACACAAAGAGTAGCTTCCAATTGAGGACGCGTGACCCGTAGCCTGTATCCCTTTCACCGAAGTCAGATTAAAAAGTATTTGTTAATGATAAGATATTGATAATATATGGGATTCGAAAATAAAATTTGAAAAAATCCGTCATCCGAAAAAGAACATACCAAAATTTACAAATGATACCATTGCCGACAGCATTAATAATGAAATGTGACATTTAATGGCTTTCAATGAATACTGTAGACAATCAACGGAAAAAGTAAAATAGCAAAAATACCGAGCTCCAAGGATAATTCAAAACGGAGAGTCCCTTATCAAATGACAAAATCAAAAGCTCAAACACATCAAACGAATGGAACAACTGTCATATTCCTAATTTGGTACAGGCATTTCCTTATGTAGAAAATGGTCAGTATTAAACCTGGTTTTATAGCTAGCAAAACCGCTCACTTGTATGACAGTCGCATAGAAATTCATTATATTGACAACAATGTGTGAGCAAAACAAACAGACAAAATAGGTACAAAATGTCAAAAATTGTGGTACAGCAGTCAACGTTGTGTTATAATCTTAATCACTATAAAATCAAACAACTATGTCAACAAAGAAAAACAAAATGACATATAGACACTCTATAGACAAAACACATCAGCAAAAATGAAAGACAAGAATACAAAAGAATTACCATAGCACCATAACACAATGGCGGGTTATTATATAGATACCGGGCAACGCGAAAAGGATATTACCAAAAATGGACTAAACAGTAAAGGTTAGAAATATACAAAGACAAAAAAAATGAACACTATAACACTTAATTAAGATGATAAACAAAGTCAGTACCTAGAATCTATACATCAAGACCATCATGTATTATTTGTAAAGTTGATACGGAATATTGAAACGATGATTCGGATTGTCACCAGTGTGTCAAAGATAAAGAAAATAACACTTTATATATGTGTTTCGTCCGCAGCGCTATTCTAGCTTAACCTTCATCAGAAACGCTCAAACCCATGATTGTATTGATAATTGAATACGAGAGTAGTTATATGACCAAAAGGATCAATGAATAGCCAAATTCATTAAAGGTCAAATTTACCTGATGTAGTAAGAATCTTTATTTTTAAATAATCTCTAAATTTATAGGCGGAGAATTTAAGAACAGTATGTGCGCACGAAGCGCTTTATATACTAAACATTAGCTACTGTAACTTGCCTACAAAAGTCATCAATATGTTAATCAAAGACTAATGTAATGTGGTATGCTTGTCAATGACACAACTTTCCATCTGTCTAAAAAACATGGATGTAACCAACTATAGCTTCCTGTGCGGTATGGGTTTTGCTAATTGTCGAAGGTCGTACAATGACACACAGTTACTGACTTCTACGTCATTTACTCTTTGAAGGAAAGTTGTCCCATTGGCAATCACACCACATCTTCTAATTTTTATATAGATCACCATACGGCCATAATAATAATTATTATTATATTATTATTTTTTTTATTATTACATGTATTATTTAAATGTAGTTTAAAACTTTTTCTGCAATGTATATCTCAACACGTTTTCATTTGGTGTCGATTTGTTGCTATCTCATTTCATTCAATAAGTATAAATAATGATCCTAATGATCAGTGAATTTAAATAGATTATATTCACCTCAAATTTTCAACTTCTATCAGTTGAACATAAGACTGAGTGATGTGAAATGGTTTTCTTATCGTTTTCACGGCGGCTTTTTCCCATTTGTCACCTATTTTAATTTCAACTTGATATACATCTGAAAATTGTCCGTGTCCGATTTCGGTCATCTCTTTTAATTCTTTGATATTTCCATCAGCAATTTGGTTTCCACAAAACTCTATGTCCATAAACATAAGTTTACCCAGAATGGCTTTACACAAGTATTCAAGAGGTTTGTATTGTTTTCTTATAAGACTCGATGAACGGATATCATTTTTGATGTTGCTAATGTATTTTTCATCAGCTTCGATCTGCTGAGGGATCGCAGTCTCGCAAACACGCTTAACACTTTTGTGAAAATCTTTCAAATAGGTTTCTGAAATGATTTTATAAATAGCAAATTTGTTGTATTCGTTCAATACTTCATTGCTCCAGTCCATCATAAACTTTAATTTGTTTGTTTTATAATCTTTAATTTTTATTTTTTCCTGTACTATTGCTTTTAACCCAGCAGCCGCTCCAAATGGCAATGCTATAATTCCAGCACCAACTATTAACGGAAGCCAAAGAGGGGAAGACACTGCCAATACAATTTTTTCTTGTTTTGTAAACAACGGAGCATGAGTGTCGTCCTTGTTTGTCTCATGCTGCGTCTGGAGTCCTTTTCCTAACGATAATTCCTCACCGAACAAAACCTCATTTATTTTCTGACGTTCCTCTTCAATAAGCTTACATTCTGTGTAAAACATGTCTGATAAATCCTTCGTAAAATTACTGATTTCGTCACGTTGACACCATTCACGAATTTCATCATTGATTCTTCCAATTATCATCTGTCTTGCCTTATACTCTATCTCATCAAATTGTGAATATTCTGGTAGTTCATGTATTGACCACATGAATATTCTGCTAACGGTCTCTTTTGATTTTATGTGGTCGTGTAGCTTTTCTGATATTTGTTTACATTTATTCTCCGCCTCTTCTGTTACTTTGCACTGTACCTTTAAGTGAATGTTGGTTTATGTAAAAAGTATGAAATGTTATATTATAGGCCAGTACTTATTTTATCGGTGTCTTTCATTCTTAAGATTTGTCAATTTTCTCTTTGTTAATGTACCAGTATCCCTGATATTATACATTATTTTTTTCTTAATAAAATGTACTAGCATAGCTTTATATTTTCACCTTATTTGAACTTACTTGTTATTTGTAAAATTGTATATGTTTGTCTATAAGTATGTTTGAACGAGACTTTGAAAAATCAAAGGATCATTACCTCTTTAATATCATGCTTTAGTTTCTTTAATCTTTCATCAACGTCTCGCTGAATTTTTATTTTTTCTTCTTCCGTTTTCATAGAAAGTTTTATTCTTCCTACAATTCTTCTCAACATTTGTTCCATGAAATCGTGCTGCCACCTGTAAAAAACATTCAGTTGAAAATTATTAGAACCTTTGATACAGGAGCTCGATTTTTAACGTAATATGATCAATCTAAACATTCTACCTATTGAAATACACAGCTTATACATAAAGCTAAGGGCGTCGGCGCCTAATTAGCATCCTTATGTTTCACATTATGTGACAATTGTGGCAGACGAGGCAATTTCTGCAGTACTGAATTATCCAGATTATAATCCTGATGTTTTTAATTATGATAGTAGTTACATATTTGTTACCCAAATTGAATATTCCAAATTTGCATATTTGATACGTGGGTGATTTAAAGCTAATTTAATAAGAATAGCAGAAAAACTGAAAGTCTAATGCTAAATGTCAATATTATCTATTGAATGTAAAATTTCCATATTACCGAAAACTATAATTCGGTGTGAATATAGCTTCAAAACAATTAAAATCAGGTTAATATGTAAATTGGCGACATTAAAAATCTTTTAAAAAATCGGAATACCCGTTTTAGATAAAAAAAAATTAAAAGAGGGTCGTCTAATTTTACACAATGCATGCTTGGTGGGTCCAAAACAATTAAAATGTAATTTTCCAAGAGACATTAATTGTAGAGATGCGCATCTGGTGGATACAAATTGGTACCGTTATTGTTATGAATTCGATTAGATAAATCGTAAAGGGGTGCCCAGTTGTTGATTTTTATATAACCACATACTGAACATAGATGTTAATGCTTCCGCAGTCGACGCCGATAATGGAATGTAGGATCGCTGTCTCGCTTCCGTGACAAAATGTCACAGGCTCGATAATAATCACTTACTTTATTCTTTTGTGCAAATAACCAAGGAATTGTATATATACATATATATACAATTCCTTGGCAGTATTCAACAATGGACATACCTTTGACAAGTAGTACAATCTTTCATTAAGAGAAATGGGCGACTTGATTGAACATGCAAGATTACTATTGTGACGATACGGCTGAATGAACAACGCACACGTTACAGCAGGGGCAGAGTCATGTAAATTATCAATATTTATACCTTAAATGGCTTGAAATTTTAGCTTGTAAGCAAACAGGAATCATTTCTTTAATCCGTCGAAGAATGCCCTTGAAACTGTCAGATCCTGTCTCTGGTCCATTTACAAAGACTTTTTTCGACTCCTGTAAAAAATATTTAACGACTTGTAAACTAGTTGTCTTTTTAAAAGAAATGTAAACTCAAAAACTGTGACAAAAATAAATGGTTTGTTGGCCGAGTAGTCAAGGGCGCTTGATATAGTACAGGTGGAGTTACCACGATGTAACAAAAAAGTGTGTTCAAAATCGACTGAAGGAAGAACAAAAATGTGCTACCGGAAATTTGCAGATTTAACATCGTTAGATAAATTTCAGACAAAGGATATGTTATAACCTTGTAGTGTTAGTCGTTCTGTGTAACCACGGATTATCCAAAGGAGGATGTCAGTTGTTGAATGTTCACCTTTTAAGACGAAAAAAAAATACAAAAAAACATAGATGTGACTGTTTAGTAAGTATGTGTCTTCCTTTACGATTGACAAAACCAGCTGATCTGCAAGACGCCAATCTACATGTCACCATACATCATGTATACTATGTTTACAATCCTGAATGAAGCCAAAGAAGAAAAGAATCACTTGACTAACGAACACTATATTTATATACAACTTTTAGCTTATTGGTCTAGAGTACTGGGTACAGTGTCGGTGGAAATTTCACAGAACCATATAGGTACAAATCACGCAACGGGGATGGCGAATGCAGATCTAACATTATTGGACTAATTTTCAATAATGAGGTTTGTTTTTTATGTGAATATGAATAGATATATTCATATAAGTCTTTTAATTTTAGTTTTTATGAATCTCTAACACATGACCCGAGACACATTCAAGTTTAAAACTAATTACTTTTGCGTCAAATATTTTCTCTTGTGACGTGACAATTTAAAATAACTAAAGACTTGTCTTTCCTTTCTTATGTAGGCGTTTTTATTCATAAATGTACACCTTAAATACAAAAGTTTTATCACATTTTCATTTTTAGATATATTCATATTGTAAGAAGAGTTTTTATTTACCTTTTTAGCACTTAGTTTAAACATTTGGGTCTCTTTAAAGTTTGGCCAGCTTTTCTTTAGTTCTTGTACAATATATGTTGACACCTTGTTTTCTTCTTTTTTGGAGATTTGATCCCACATATTGCATACAAATATTGCTCTGTTTGGATCTAGTTTGTATACACATTTACTTTCGGTCTGTTCCTCGAAAATCTTCAGCAGCTATATATTAATCAACATAAATTGTTACTGTAATAACCACAGGGGCAGTATTTTAAAAAGCAAACAGATTTTTGGATCATTGAAAAATAGCATAAAATCTTTCAAAACAAAACTAATGTAATCATTGGACAAAATCAATCAAGATTAAAGATAAAATACAATTATGGAGTGACAAGTGTGAAAAAGTCTAATGCAAGATAAGGATATGCGGTACCATTGCCAATAAGACAATTTTCCACCAGAATCCAAATGCCCTGAAGTTTTGCGACTATAGATTATTGAACAGCCTTCAACGAGAATTAAAAACCCATACCATATGATCAGCTATTAAATACTCCGACATCACAAAATATGAAACAATTCATACGAAATAATTCACAAGAAACCAACAGGCCGATTTATGAAAAACAAACGAAAAAAATATGACAGACAGCAACCAACGACAACCACGCAATAACAGCTTCCTGACTTGGGACAGGCACAATTGTGGAGGGTTTAAACATGTTTATGGGCGCTCAATCTAACCTGTGACAGTGGTGTAACTCCACAACTTAGAACAAACTGTAAAAATTAGTTGGAAGTTGTTTTAATTTATACATTGAAAGGGGGATTCAGAAATATCGTGATGGGGTAAATTTAACCATCTGTGTCAATCAGATGTGGATATTTAAAAATTCTAGATATGTACTTCAAAATCTTCGATCACAATCTTTATAACTTTGAAGTTACATCAGAAACTTTAATTTTTCTACGCTTTGCACTTCTATCCCCCGTGCTAAATTGAAAGATAGACTACGTCTCATTAAACAAAGCTTTCTCTACAGACAATTGGAAACGTTATTTTATGTCATGACAAATCTTTTTTGCGAAGAAGCACACTGATACCCACAACAAATACACCAAAGATGTTATCATTAAAACGCTACACTTTTTGATCAACAACATATTTGTTGAGTTTGGTGGATTGATATTTCAGCAGACATTCTGTATTTCAATGGGTACTAATTGTGCGCCACTACAGGCTGAACATCTGTAAACCACTGTCGCATTAATTTACTCATCAGAATGACACGCAGTACAAACAAAAACTTACATTAAGACAGACACAAAGAATCGATCAAGAGTATTCGCAGTTATTGAAAGATAGTTCAAAGCCAATAACAACTAAAACATTTATATTTTTTCTCCAAAACTAAAGTATCAATCAATTCACATCGGACGGATTTTGTGTAAAGAAGTCATAAACAGTCTTAGAAAAGCATGACCTTGTGTAAAATATAAGTATATAATATCGACAGGATGAAGGACAATGAGTTTTCGTGATTGTATAGCAATCTATATATAGTTATGTTTTAATTTATCAAAAATAAAATCAATGGAGTACCGATAAAAACAATATTTTTTAAAAGATCTTACCAAGACATTAAATTAATATCGTTTCAGTATAAGTTAGTCCCCGAGGATATCATCGGCTCAGTAGTCACTCCTTCGGTACTGACATGATTTATAACAAACCTTTCTAAAATTGTCCGTTTATAAATTTTGAAATTTTAAAGAAAATAAGGCAAGGTTGACCTTAGATGGATTTGGCTATTTTTGTGTCCTTTTAGGTCATATAACTCTTCAACTGATTCGGTTCTTATACATCCTTGGCTTTAAAATATTCGGCATTGAGCGTTCCTGATGAAGGTAAATCCAGAAAAGCGCTTCGAACGCATGACATTTATAACGTGTTGTTTTCATTTATTTTTTTTTTATTTATTTAAAGGATCTATGTGTTTAAATTGATCTTATCTAAATACGAGAGCTCTATAAATAACATTACCGTAAAAATGTAGATGTCATATCCTGTTTGTAAAAATAATTCTTAACTTCCAAACCAAATCTTTTTCTCTTCAAAGAATTCAGTAAAAAGTTTAGTTAATTAATGATCCCGATATCCCTGACTTTGTAATTACCAGTCATAGATAGATTACATTAATTGCATGAAATCGTAAACGTCACTTCAGACACGAACATCGCACACGATTTGGGAAACAAACACACCGTAAGAATGGGCCAAAGGAACATGTTTGTCGAAAATAGGACAATTAACGAAGGAACGAAAATATTGTCTCTTTTGTACTAAAACTTTGTTTTGAGTTTCCCGTGTGAAACTTGAATATCAAAATCTAGAAAAGGACAGTTATTACTGTAAATATTAGATTTATTTTACGTAAGTTCCATTGGGTAAATTTGATTATTCAAAGCAAAAATATTATCGAGATAACGGGAAGTATTTATCAATGAAATATTATATAGATGGTTCTTTGCTGAGTTTTATTAAACTGTTTGCAGCTTACAACCACTGTATTAACCTCAATCAACATGAAAAATTACATGAAACTATCAGCTGTTATTATACTTCTTCGATGAACATGTTGGGGTTTTTTTTTCTATTAATATTTTTTTTTTATCATTATCATTAATTTTGATGTTTAGTCTTAAATAAAAGGAAATGATTATTGCAAATGATAAAACAATACTTAAGATAATTATGCTTTAAGTTACGAATATTCAATAAGACCAATATAACCTAACAGAATGTTTTCCTATAAGGAAAGAAAGAATTGTCTCAATATGTATATTTTTTGTAGGTAGAACGAGAGGCTTTGCTGAGCATTTCTATCCCGTTTTCGAGTCGTTTAAAAAATACAGCAACTTTTAAATTTGTTGCATAGGAAACATTTACGGTGAAAATCAACAAATATGAATTTGAAACGGAAGACGCAAAAACATCGAGAACCTGCATTCTTTCACGGCGTTATAGATAAAACTATACGAAAACACATTATCAACGTCACAAACAAGGCTTTACACGGTTAAATAATAAATGAAGCCAAAGTTTATACGCATTGTTTTGACTGCGCAAAGGAACAGTTGCAGTATAAATGATGTTATACATTTGGTACATACTTCAAATAAAGAAATATATACTAGTAATATATGTAAAGTAATCATTACAAGCATTTTTTTTTTTTTTTCAGTTTTAGATATATAAGACCAAGTGTATGTGTATGTGTGTTGTATAGAAACTCACTCGGTCATTCTGAACACCACCAGCATTGCTACTCTTTATAACATATATTAAAGAAATTGCTTTTGGAAGATAATCCAGAAGACATGATGTTAGTTTTGAATTTGTTCCAATTCCTGGAGTGTCAACAATTACAGCACCATCCTGGAAAAAAAAAACATTATTACAATGATAAATTATTTTCGCTACTTACAATTGCAAATCCCTGTCGTAACAAGTTATACATAGAGTATGTTCTTTGAAATCTAAAACGTCACTACAGACTCAGGCATAGCGAACAAGTAAAAAAATATACACACAGTGAGAGGAAAGGAAGGTCATCAATTGGGACACAAAAAAACGTCTCTTTTGTCGTACATTTTTGTAAAGAGTTTCCATAGTGAACTGGAAATCCTCGTTAATGCAATGATATTAATGCAATGATATGATAGCCAACAATAACAAAAATAAGGCGGAGCTCGTAGCTTTTATCTAAGGGCATGATACATCTTGACCGTGAATTTTCAGTTGAAACATTAAATAACTGTACTAAAACTAAAGGTTGCAAACAAACCCTTAATAAAATTTAATCTTGTATATTTTTAAATCTCTATTTGGAGTCAATTAAGTTTTGACTGTCCAACATAGTTAAATTTTTGGCTTCCTAATCTTCTTAAAGGTTATTCTTAAATATGAAATCATACGGTTCAGAATCCTGTTTTCACTTTAATAATTTATGAGAATGTAATGAGATTGGTGTGATTTAAATCTCTGAGTGGTGTCCTCCTGGTACACGTATTATAATATTGTAAATGATATTTGTTTCCTTTTATCAAATTCATATACAAATTATCAGTTCATTTCGTGTTTTCTCTCTCTCTCTCTCTCTCTCTCTCTCTCTCTTGTAAAGTTTGTACGAATGTATACGTTGAAACCGCTTTACGTTTGGGGTTCGGTGAATTTAGGAGTAGGTTACTTGCTCTTAATTTGTTGGAAACGTTTTATTTACGTCTTTCTTCTTTCGGCCAAGTTGTTGTTATCGTCTTATTATTCTAATTGCGTACTTGGCTTCTTCTGACTTTATATGTGTTATATTAAAAGTTTTGTCTTTAAATGTTCATACTTTTCTCATAACACTGTTTGTATCAGCAAAAATAAGGGCTATGCTATGCTTCTTTTGCGATGTCAAGCTTTTCATCTCACCTGAAGTATTGGTATGGGCCAGTCTATGTCCACGTATTTATAGCAATTCTGGTTATCGTCAGGGTTGACATATTCCTGTAGTTTCTCGTTCATGGTTTCTGCGTCTATGTTGGAAGGAAGGGGTAGTTTGGTCACTGTATCATGTTCATCGACCAAATGCAGAGCCTTTTCGTGTCTGTTCCGAAGTCGGCATATAGTTGATGTGCAGGATAATACAGAATAAGGGAGAAGTTTGCACCCAATCAGTAAATTGATAAAACTGCTTTTACCTGCTGATGTCTCCCCTAAAAGTTGAAACCCGATACATTTTGCAATCGTTTCAAAAATCAATCTATTAGTCGTAAAATGTCTAAAATAAGGTTGTATTTTTTTCTATGAAAACAAACTTATTAGCCTGATTGAGTTTTAATCTGAAGAGTATCGGATCTGGTCTTTTAAAAACTTATGCATTACAGACTGTTTGAGTGTGCAGAAAGTAAGATGTTCTCATATAAGGCAACCAGAAAGTTCTCTTCGCACTGATAACCATTAACAGTAGTATGCAGGCATGCTGATACGATGGTAAAATACTGTATTTTCCAAGATATTGGAATATAATCTATCATTTGGAAAAAGGAAACATATCATGCGTGCACATTATCCTTGGAAGGTCTGTTCAGATGTTTAAATAATTAACTCTACACTTTTCTTGTCATGCGCAGCGATTTAGTGTTTAACTTGTTCTATGAAGTGTTTACTCAACACTGTCCGCGCAGGACAATTTATAGCAACTATCAATACAGTATTATTTCGTATGGATTTCTATGTTATATGGATTGCTGCCAGATTTTAAAAAAAATACGTCATATAGTAAGTTTGTAAGAGAATTTAATCGACAAGTACCTGTTACAACTATAGGACAATCACTTTCCATCAACTCTTCCTTAAGTCTCCCAATTACAACAGACAAATCCCCAAACTCTATTGATAATTCTTCCTTTAGCTTCTCTTCTATGTCAGTATGAGTGATAAGTTTCTGAATCTCATCATAAACATCACAAACGCACTGTTTTGTACTCTCTATATTCTTATCAGACTGTTCTGCATCCTATATTGAGTATTAAAATCGTACCAAGCGTTTGTTATACTTCTTGGTTTATAACTTGCAATATATTGCATGCCAAGGTTTATCGATGATTCAGTGCGTTGATCTACATTTGTATAGAGTTACATAGGAGAAAAAATACGTTGATCTGCAATGTTATATCTTGAAAATTAAAACAAAAACTGAAACTATTATTTTCTTAACAACCTTTTCAATTTTAAATTCTCAGATGAATTTTTGTGCGTTTATGTTTATTGACAGAAACATAGAAGCCCGGAAATTAGGTCTATTGTTTAATACAACCTTCGAAAACGGATGTAGTATAAATCTTCGACTCGCGCAGCGCTTTATATCTCAAAAACAAGAACACGGACCTTTTATTTTTTCTGCTTTTTTAGTTCAGTTTTTTATATACTTTCATATATAACAGTCTTTAAAAGGGCTTCTAATTTTGAAACTGAGCAGAGAACATCCTTAAAATGAATTGAGATAAATCCGAACTGGAACTAAATATTGTTCATTCAACACGCAAACTAAAGTAAAAATAAGATGTGGTATGATTGCCAATGAGACTACTATCCACCAGAGTTCAAAGGAAGTGGGTATTAACAATTATAGGCCACCATGCGCCCTTCAACAATGAGTAAAACTCAAACCGTATACTGTGGATTCATTTATTTCCGTGGGTACCAATTTTCGTGGATTAAGGAAAACTTGCATGTTTGTTGATGTTTAATTTCGTGGTTTTGCCAAGGTGTGCATACAATCCTATAGAAATCTGTTATTCGTTGAACATTTAATTTCGTGGTTCACCTGTACCCACAAAATCCACGAAAATTAGTATCCAACGAATAATAATGAATCCACAGTAGTCGGTTTTAACTAAGCCAATCCCTCAATAGAAACTACTTATGTAATCCCAGCCTCTTATACATATTCCTTAACAATACTTCTACTAAATCAAGGATGGAGCTGTGCTAATAGGTTTGTACTATAGCCCAATGATAAACACCAGCAGTCATCATCAACTGTACTAAAAACATTGCATACAGCAACGGCTTCTAAAACGTATTTATAAAGGCTTCAATCGTGCAAGGAACGTCAGCCGAAATGAACTTTTACACTCATTTAAAGGAGTCGGTCAGAAAACATACCTTCGGAAATTTGAATAATATGTCTTACATTATCCTCGAAATTTGGATATCCCTCAACTATCAAAGATCTTCCCAGAGCTATCCGTTATGTATTTCATTAGGCTTAAAAGTATTAAAGGCTGTTCAGGGCCAATATCCTTCTGAACTAGAATCTTCACCAGGGAGCTCTTTTGGGTCGTGCAAACCCAGAATTAAACGGCCAAACAGAACAACTTCCGCCATGATCTACAATGTAACTTGCAAGACTGTAAATACTATGAATCTGGTATTGCTGTTCCCTAGACCATTGACTTTTTTTAAATTAAATTTAAGAAATAGAAAGCGAAAACCTTCCTCCACATTTTCGCACCATCTGCTGATACTGAACGTAAGATGATTCTGTTTGTATATATTCAGGGTTTCAGTTTGTTGAGGATTGGTATTGATGCCAGATATTTTTGTCGTCTTTGTCAAATTTATTTACCGCTATTCAAAATCTTACGCATTAGGTGGGGATATACAGCACAGTTTCTTCTTCTAGTGCTAAATGATAACTTTTTTTTTTGCTTTCATCATTTCCGAAAGGTTCAAACGTTGAGAAAGAAGACATAGGTGGAGGACTTCATCGATTCTTGTAAATTGTAAAACAAATTAAACATTGTTGTAAAGACGACAAACCATAGAAATCTTGAATGATTTAATCACTCAAATACATGAGGGAAAAAGCTATTATATCACATATATGAGAATTACATTGTAACAAATTGTTAATGGACTGTAATGAAGATTCGAATGTGTCTCTTAGCGCTTTTCGGTTCTATTCAATGATTACAGACATGTGACTCTTGAATTTACCGTTGATATTTTTGAAATGCTGTACCATTTTGCTAGATTCTCAATACTATTTGCAAAATCAATATGAATTTGAGAAAATTTGAAAACTCTTTAGAAATGTATGGCAAATTTTAATAAATTATTCTCATCGGACCAGTAGTCTACTCGATCAACGGACTTTCCTCCTATATAACTGCATACAAACGTAGATCAACGGACTGAGTCTTCGATACAACGCCCTTGATTTTTCTTTAGTCGATTGATTGGAGCCTATTTGAATCATTTTGGTAATAATAAGCTATATTTTATTGCAATTTCTGTACCAGTTAATTCAAGCTTCGATACAAGTCAATGTAAATTTGTTATTTCTTGTTTCATGTTTTTGGAATGTAGTTCTTGATTTATCTAATCAAGTAATAAAATCATTTGCATTAGGGACTTTCCATTTTGAATTTTCATCGGGGTTCAGTATTTTTGTGATTTAACTTTTTTTTTTCCACAAGCGATTAGAATTAAATGAAAACGACTTGTCCATAAATACTGATATTGAAGTTACAAAAATTGAGAAACAAGTATGGATATTTAAGTAAATCATCTTGCGACGAGTAAGAAATATCGGCTCATAATCTAGATTACCGCGATAAAGCCTTTTTGCGTTGATGCGGCGTAAAAGCATTTTGCCATTAGGGACTGCTGTTTTATCTGGAGCTTGTATTGCACAAATTTTGTGATTTTTCTCAGTACTATACCATTTCAAACCTGTATACTAGTCATTGTTTTTGGTGTTTCCCTATAGATTTTTTACTTTTTATTCCATCCATCAACAGTCGATTTCACCTCATTGTTTTACACACACACAAAGAAAACGAAATGATATACTAGTTGTCTTTTTACGACATGTATACAATAAAATATTACCACGTGTTCTTTATTTTGGTTAGAATCCGACATCGTTCTTATATATAGAAGGTGTTCCATGGGAAGACTGTCACCAGAAACGTGTTCACTGTCCACTACCTCGTCATCGTTAGTAAGCCCATAGTTCGGAGTCCATTGTTCGCCTTTGTGTATGTCATCTGTTGACATCGTCAGTCTAAACTGTCGGTGTATTAATTTCTTACATTACTTTGACTGATAAAATCCCGTTTGTAACTCCAAAAGCTGTAATTAAAAGAAAAAAAAATTCCAGATAAGGTGAAAATTTTAATTTCAAATCGTGTTCATGGTAAAAATTGCATCATAAATGAATCTTTGAATATTTTGTTTTGTGGAAAGTGGTAAAATGCAAAAAGTAGACTGCAAATATATAAAAAAAAAATATACACCTTAAAAAAGAGGATTGGGTTAATATAGTTTAGCTTGTTGACCAAATGTTTACATTAATGCTCGAAACTAGTTTGGTATTTGTTCTTTTGAGTCACGAAGAACCACATGCGAGATCCGTCTTTAGTTAATGCACAGATACCAGCGCTTGCATAATTTAAACCTGCCAAAACCACCAACAACCATTCGATTTAAAACCTTTTATATAAAAAGAAGATGCGGTATGATTGCAAATGAGACAACTCTCCACAAGAGACCAAATGACACAGAAATTAACAACTATAGGTCAACGTACGGCCTTCAACAATGAGCAAAACCCATACCGCAAAGTCAGCTATAAAAGGCCCCGAAATGACAAATTAATGTAAAACAATTTAAACGAGAAAACTAACGGCCTAATTTATGTACAAAATAATGAACGAAAAACAAATATGTTACAGAGCAACAAACGACAACCACCCTCTGTTTTTCTTGTGAAAAACTATACAAAACCAAGTCCAAACACCATTGATTGTTGGTGGACATATTTGTTTAAAAAACAAACATTCCTCAGCGATGACACCAAAATAGAACATCAATGTGTACAAAACGATTGTAAGATTACTTGTATGTATCACAAATAATTGCGACGTTAATTTCGGCACTTTTTTTTATTCCGCTTCTTCATTCAAAAAATTGAGGTCAACACTACACTACTGACATGTCGGGATTGGAGTGGGGGAGGGGGTCGGGTATTTGGTTAAAGGTCACAGATTAAGTCTCGAGGTTCAGACACTGAAAATCACTGATAATATTACACAGTATATTAGCTTTCGTTTTGTACTTCTAAATTTCTATCGTTAGAGTAATAAATGAAAGGTGTGTTTTATACTTAATGATGGCTATGATCAATTTCAGAAAAAAATAAAACTGAAAGAAAGAAGAAAAATCAAAAGATTCTACTCACGTGGTCGTAAACCCAAATGACTACATGTACACATATACGATTGTGTATTTCACAATCTGTTTATTGTACGGAAATTATCTATATCAATAGCCGATTACTTCCTTATATAATATTAAACATACATCAACCAATAAAAACTCATCTTTGAAGTATACAAAAAAAATGTTGGTCTTTTAATGGCAAATAATGATTTCAATAATCTGGCAACTACCATTTTTTTCTTCATTTAACCTTCATCTATTACCCTGTATCACTCACCTGGTGCAAACTTTAAAAAAAAAGATAATATCATATCTAAGTTAAAGCGTTTTGATTTAAATAATGCATTAAAACCGTTTTCAGAAACGGAAACAAAATGAACGCTAATGGGCAGAATTTATAGCATCATTCCTCTCCGTCGCATATCAAATCAAATCATCAAAAGTCGGCATGTCGCATAACAATTACATAAAAAAGATTTTATAACCTACCGGACAAATACATACATGTGATGCACACAATAAATAAAGGACATAAAACAAAATTCTCATGAACATTTGCTAATTAATCAAATCTGAAACGAGTTACTGTGACTTGACAGTAAGTGTTGCTCTCCACCTATTGCAACTTATTCAAAATTCTGACCAAATTGCAATTTGTTTTATAAAACCAAACTGTTCAACTGGTCAGAAATTTGAACAAACTGTTGTAGAAAACCACAGTCAAGTCATAAAAGTGCAAGGTGATAAAATAAAGCATACTTACAATCCTATAAAACTTTAATTCCACTTCAATGATATTATGAAAAATTAGTCTAACAATTTATATTTACAAATTTTATTGTAATTGTCATGCTAAATGTGATAGGTAGTAATTTTCAGGGGCGGATTCAGGCGGGGGCGTTGCGGGCGTGCGCCCTCCCTAAAATTTGCAAAGTATGGGTTGTCCTCGGCTTAATAAAGAATATTTTGATAATTTTACCTCAAAATTTTTGACTTTGAGGCCCCCAACCTAAATTCCTGGATTCGCCCCTGATTTTGAATTGCTATAAAAATGTCCAAACTAAGCTTTCATACAATTTTTCTTTCGAAAAGTCTTCTATATTCATAAGAATAAGACGTTACATTACAATACGTTGTTAGGAAGTTTCCATGGGAGATAATCTATTTTTCTTTCGAAAAGTCTTCTATATTCAAATAAATAATGATTTTAGGTTATCTCCCATGGAAACTTATTAACAACATATTGTAATTTCACATTTATTTTACTGAATATAAGATGTTTTAAATCAAATGATGTCTGATTCTTATGAATGTAGAAGACTTTTCGAAAGAAATATTGTATGAAAGCTTAGTTTGGACATTTTTTATAGCAATTCAAAATTACTACCTATCACCTTTGGCATGACAATTACAATACAATTTGTATATACAAATTGTTAGACTGATTTTTCATAATATCATTGAAGTAGAATTAAAGTCTTATAGGATTGTAAGTATGCTTTATTTACAGGTTAGACAATACCTGTTCATGTTTTATGAATATTTAAAGCCCGAGGCGTAACCGAAGGTTTTAAATGTTCATAAAACACGATCAAGTATTGTCTGACCAATTTAGAACATATTCACAACTTCGAGTGACAGAACAAAATTAGCCTCTCATTGTAATAATCAAACTTTGATATTAGCTCACTTTAAGTGTTAACATGCTTAGTAAAAGGGATGTAAATCACTCAATGGTCATTTCAACACATGGAATGAAAGAGCAATGGGATAGATTGTTCAAAAATAGAGATTTCTACTGCTTCAGGTACAATTTAATCTTATATATCTAAAATTCCTTCATTTTAAAAGCATAGAATGTTATATAAATCAGCTTTTCTAAAATTGTATAATTTTTAAATAAGGACAAAACTTCATAAATAGATTTTAATTTACAATCGTTTCAACATTAGATGCTTGTTTTTTTATTGACAAATGTATTGAGTTTTTTTTTCAAAAACTTCCTTTGATTTTATCAACATGCAGTCATTGTCTTAAAACATTGAGTTTGAGGTCTGGTATAAAATTTAGATTAAATATTACATGTATTTTACCTACGCCTTTGCCCCCTTTTCAATTTTTGTTTTTTTCGGGGGTTCCATTAAATAACATTTACAATGTTGAAATCTCAACTTAAAATTCTTTTGTAGTTCTATTCTCCTGATTTCATTTATAATACCGGGTAATTAGACAAACAACAGTACTCATGATTTTTTCTTTTGCTCTTTTCCCTTGGACATTGCCTTTGGTGGTTGTACACCTCGTAAGTCCAATTTTTAAGAGTTCACTTTCATAATAATTAATTATTAATCTACAATGAAAAGTCATTCATGTGTATCATTTTATAGTGCATGGAAAGCCATGTACTATGAAAAATAGAAGGGAAAAAACTGATTTTCCATTGGACGAGAATGGGTGAGTATGTTCTAATTTATCACCTTGAACTTTCATGACTTGACTGTGGTTTTCTAAAGCAGTTTGTTCAAATTTCTGACCAGTTGAACAGTTTGGTTTTATAAAACAAATTGCAATTTGGTCAGAATTTTGAATAAGTTGCAATAGGTGGAGAGCAACATTTACAGTCAAGTCACAGTAAATCACATAATCATTGTAATACACATCATATGCATGCATGAATGGGAACTTAACTAAAAGCCATAAGCAGCACTTATAATATAAAGCATGAAATACTAAAGCAAAGAACACATTAGAAAAACACTAAGCAAATAAAACACAAAAAAGAGTGAAAGTATAATCGTGACTAGTAAGCTTCAAAGCTTTTATATAAAACAAAAAAGATACATACTAAGCACATGCATAACTATGGCATGAGTTGCCATTTCATGAATTCATTATATATATAGACTTATTCAAAATATTATTAGCATACTCATGATATTAAAATGGTTTGGCAACTCATTCCATAGTTAGGCTGCAGAATGTATGAAGTATTTCATGCTATACCTTGTAGTTCTACTTGTAGGCTTTTCATCTAAGTTTTGTTACCTGAAGGAATATTTTGTGTCTCATGTTTATTAAAAGAGAGACGAAATATACCAAAGGGACATTCAAACTCATAAGTCAGAAATAAACTGACAACGCCATGGCAAAAAAAGAAAAAGATCAAAACACAAACACAAACAACTAAAGCAGTACTTAATAGCCAGTCAAGCTCGTCGTAAAACACACCCACCATGACCATAAACCAGTGGAAAACCAGTCAAGGTCGTTTAACACACCCATAGTAGAGGCAGTGGACCCTCATGGGTAATCTTCAACTTCAACTTCAACTTCAATTTGGTTACTTATAGTAACATCCCTAAGCAGACGTCTCACTTAGGACTATTTACACACGCGCATAGCAGAGCCTCAAATGTTTTAAAGAATAAACGTATTTACACTGTACAATTATGTGGAAGTTTAGCATACTCCCTTGACTGCCACCTTAAATGCGTCCAATCCTGGGACGGCTATCACAGGCGGTGGTAGTTGATTCCATAAGATAATTGTTCGTGGAAAGAACAAGTGTTTATATACATCTACATTTGTCCGAATTGTCAGAAATTTACATGTATGGCTGTGGCTAGTTGATTTTATTTCTGCCATTGCATAGTGTGATGTTGAATAGGCACGGCAATAAGGTGGTGGACTACCTTATACAAGAGGATTACGTGTGATGTTCATCGCCTCTGATCTAATGTTTCCCAATTTAGATTTTTTACCATTTCTGTTGTGCTGTCTTTTTTTTTGTAATCGTGTTTTATTGAGGACAAATCTTGCTGCGTTCTTTTGAACAGATTCTAATTTATTGATGTCAGTGATTGTATAAGGACTCCAAATTGTTAAGCAGTATTCTTATTTTGGTCTCACGAGGCTGGTATATTTTCTTTCCTTTACACTATATGGACAGTGTTTGAGATTTCGCATAAGGAAGTCTAGGACTCTTGATACTTTCTTGCAAGTGTGCAAATTGTACTTCAGGTTGTTGCTTAGTTTCACTCCAAGATATGGTTGATGGCAAACTTTTTGAAGAATTTCACCTTTCATTTTTTATGTGAAATCTGTCTTCGATCTTTTGTTTGTGGCCTGCATTACTGTGCATTTTGACACGCTGAATTCCATTTGGCATTTACTGGACCAGTTTATAAGTGTGTCAAGATCTTGTTGCAATAATCGATGGTCTTTTTCTGTGTGTATTGGTCTGTAAATTACACAGTCATCTTCAAACAATCTGGCGGTGGAATGGAGATTGTCTGCGATGTCATTGATGAACACAAGGAATTATTGTGGGTCCAAATACTGTTCCCTGGGGAACCCCCGATGTTACAAAGGAACGCCTGAAAGATTCCCCATCTAGAACTACCTTTTGGATCCTGTTGCTGAGGAATGTGTCAATCCATGTTCTGGTTGTTCCGCCAATGCCATAATTTTGTAACCTCTCTGATAGCCTTTTGTAAGCAACTTTGTTGGAAGCTTTTGCAAAATCTAGGATTGCTATGTCGACTTGCATATCCATTTGGTGATGTCGTCGGTGGTCATCAGGAGTTGGCTTTCGCATGACCTTTTTGCTCTAAACTCATGTCGATTTTCACTGAGAGCATTTTGATCGTCTAAATGGTCCATAATGTGTGATACTATGATGTGTTCTAGCACTTTTGATGCCACTGATGGGTCACTGATGTTAATGACACTGGCCTGTAGTTAGATGGTTTTGAACGATTTCCTTTTTTAAATACTAGAACAAATGTTGGCATTTTTCCGGTCTTCTGGGATTTGGCTTGTTTTGATTGACTGCTGATAAATTCTTGTAAGTATTAGTGCAATGATATTGGCTGTTTCTTAGAGTATTTTCACTGGAATTTAATCAGGGCCGGTTGCTTTACCCGAATTTAGTCGATTGATTGCTTTTTCTACTCCTATTTCTCCAATTTTTATGTCTTTCATTTGTATAAATGGGTGAGTTTCCTTTAGATGGTATGTGGTTGGTGTTTTCCGTTGTAAATACTGATGTTAACTATTTATTCAGCATTTCCGTTACAGCTGATACTCCATTGTCCTTAAGAGTATCGATTCCCATTGTGATTTGTTTCCTTGATTTGATAT